TATATATATATATATATATATATATATATATATAAAAGAAGGTAGAGTGCTTTCCGAGGGGGGGGGGAGGAACGTGAAACTTTATCCATCCATCCCTCTCGACATTCAGTCACGACCTCTTCAATTACATTTGAAACTTAGAACTTTACAGCATGGTTTTAGGATCATATTTGCTCGCTTTTGAAGATGTTGCATTAAAAGATACGAAGATAATCTGAAGGTGAACGTTATCAAAACAGGACGGCCTGATTGCACCTAAAGCTTGTTTGGTGTACAAAGTTACTCTAGCATAGCAGAGAAAGCACGGTGACTTTCATTTATCAGGTATGTTTAGAGTGCCTGTCAAACTTTGCATCGGGGAAGTAACCCTTCTTCAAGATCAAGTTTAAGGGACGGCTTTAAGCTCTCCCATAGTAGAGTACCCTGTACTCTAAATCGTTACCTACTTTTTCTAATCCCCCCCAGTACGAAGTACTCTAAATCGTTACCCACTTATTCTACCCCCCCCCCCCCACGCACAGGCCCACGGGACTGCTATATGCTCTCCCATTAATGGTTAACCCCTTTTTCTAACCACAGGGACGGCTCACCGCTCTCCCATCGTTGAGTACGAAGTACTCAAAATCGTCATCCATTTTTGCTAAACACAGTTGATTGTTACAGCCAGCATTTCCCAGCAGGTTAAGGAGGTTAATGCGAAGCATTTCTTGGCGAACTTCAGCAGCTTAGAGCGTATCTATCTATCTATCTATCTATCTATCTATCTATCTATCTATCTATCTATCTATCTATCTATCTATCTATCTATCTATCTATCTATCCTATCTATCTATCTATCTATCTATCTATCTATCTATCTATCTATATCTATCTATCTATCTATCTGTCTGTCTGTCTGTCTGTCTGTCTGTCTGTCTGTCTGTCTGTCTGTCGTCTGTCTGTCTGTCTGTCTGTCTGTCTGTCTGTCTGTCTGTCTGTCTGTCTGTCTGTCTATCTGTCTATCTATCTATCTATCTATCTATCTATCTATCTATCTATATCTATCTATCTATCTATCTATCTATCTATCTATCTATCTATCTATCTATCTATCTATCTATCTATCTATCTATCTATCTATCTATCTATCTATCTATCTATCTATCTATCTATCTGTCTGTCTGTCTGTCTGTCTGTCTGTCTGTCTGTCTGTCTGTCTGTCTGTCTGTCTGTCTGTCTGTCTGTCTGTCTGTCTGTCTGTCTGTCTGTCTGTCTGTCTATCTGTCTATCTATCTATCTATCTATCTATCTATCTATCTATCTATCTATCTATCTATCTATCTATCTATCTATCTATCTATTATCTATCTATCTATCTATCTATCTATCTATCTATCTATCTATCTATCTATCTATCTATCTATCTATAGCTATCTGTCTGTCTGTCTGTCGTGTCTTCTGTCTCTGTCTGTCTGTCCTGTCTGTCTGTCTGTCTGTCCTGTCTGTCCTGTCTGTCTGTCTGTCTGTCTGTCTGTCAAATGTTCTGTCTGTCTGTCTGTCTGTCTGTCTGTCTGTCTGTCTGTCTGTCCTGTCTGTCCCTGTCGGGTCTGTCTGCTGTCTGTCTGTCTGTCTGTCTGTCTGTCTGGCCTGTCTGGTCTGTCTGTCTGTCTGTCTGTCTGTCTGTCTGTCGTCTGTCTTCGTCCTGTCTGTCTGTCTCTGTCTGTCGTCTGTCGGCAGTGTCCAGGCCGCCTACGACTTTTAGCTCTCGTGTCCGTTTCGATAATGGTATTGATACCAAACTTGGTATGGCATAACATGACTCTATGAAGAACCCATTTGACTCGTCATAACATGAAAATCATGACATGTATGTCATGAATGTCTTGATTTACATTTAATGGTCCTGCAGCTGTTGCGGTGCTTTCGTTCACATGGCATGTTGCAAAACTGGTATGGTATGGCGTGATAGCATGGCGAACACAAGCGACGACAGACCCTAACATGAAAATCACGACATGCGTGTCATGTAACAACATGACTACATGCCACACTCATGATGCGCTCGCGGCCGTTTCGCTAGCATCACATTTACCAAGTTTGGTATTACAGTACGTGAATGGATGACGAGAGTATGTGACTGGTGCAAACATGATAATATGGAGATGCGTGCCATGAAACAACATGGCTACATGCCACGCTCATAATGCGCTGGTGGCCGTTTCGCTAGCTTCACTTATACCAAATTTGGTATTACGGGACGTGAATGGAGGACAAAGGTATGATACTGGCTCTTTTCGTTCTCATTTTTCTTGACCTATGGAAACTGCCGCTGTGTCGATGGAGTGTAACGATTCCGAATGGCGGCAAATTGTCGAGTTGTCGGTCTGTTTGCTGGAAATTGCCCCTACTCAATCTACGCGTGACCGCTTATATATGTACCTCGCCTGGCCTCCACCACCATTGCCTTGTATGTATATATATATATATATATATATATATATATATATATATATATATATAATAGATATATATATATATATATATATACACATACACAAGGCAATCCGTGCTAAGACAATATCTGTTTCAGTAGTATGTAAACTGCGGTATTTGGTTTAATGTTGCATACTTAACGAGCAAGCAGCGTAATGAATAGAATCTATTTCCTTCAGTTTGGCCAAGCTTGTAAAGGTTAAAGAGGACTTGATGATGGAAAGCATTTCACCTCGGTTCAACCTTGAAGAGTCAAGGGGGAAGTCGGCTAGAATAAATAGATTGGACATTACCCCTTCCCCTTTGTTTACTATAGCAAGGCATTGATTTGGGTGAGTCGGTAGGGTACATACACGCGTCCTTTTTTTTTGCGCTGTGTTTCCCCAGTTAACCCTTTCTTCTATACGCTTACATGCTCGGCCAGCTATACGCTTATCGGCAATACCGCTGCACAAGTGCCCATATGCTCCAACTCGCACGATATAACGAAGGGTGTGCAATGTATATATATTGAAGGTGGTCCAAGACTGAACGGTGCCACCGGCCAACGTTGAATTGATTCAGAGAACACAACAGAGACTGTGTTTTGATCACTGACTTTTGTCGCGTGTCCGCTGATTTGCGGTGTTGGCGCGCGCCATTCTATTTAAGTACGGGCAGCAGGTTGCAGCTGATCGACTTTTATAGGTAACGCCATTTCGCGCTATTAGTATCACGCGCGTTGTTCCGAGTCGTTGGCGCAGGGGCGTGTTCTACGCGCGATACGTGACAGTTGTTTCACCGCATGTATCATTGTCAGAAACCGGTCTATAACGACGACGTTCTCTGCAGCCGGGCGCAGTGTGTACCCTAATACGGGCACGCGAGCAAAAACTGCAGCGTGGCCAGACAAATGCATGCTGGCGTCCGCAAGGAAATGTTTCCGGTGGGTATAACGCAAATCCAGGTGCGTCGTTTCAGTTACTTAAGCGTTGTTTTCCTTTGGGGAGGGGAGGGGGGCTTTAACTTATTCTTTAGGCTTTTCTCTTGGTTTGGTTTGTGAGGACTGCGGCATCAGTTGTGAACGAATGTGAAATCGCCGTACAACGCGATGTGAGAGACGATTGTAACACGAACTGCAAAGCAGACGGCTCGTAATCAAGTTGAAAAAATGAAAACTGGGCGAGTTGGTGTAGGGATTCATTGTAGAGCGAATGTATCTCATCTTCTTTCAGTTGTGCCGTTATTGTGTTGGAGCTCCAAGTTTTCCATCCTGCGTACCTAGTCGACACTACGAGCGAGGGCTGTTGTTCTTGAGTCCGCCGTGGTGGTTCAGTGGTTATAGGGTGCTCGGCTGCTGACCCGAAGCTAGCGGGTTCGATCGTGGCCGTGGTGGCCGCATTTCGTTAAAGGCGATGTGGTACGGGCCCGTCTACTTGTGTGATGTCAGTGCACATTAGAGAACGCCAGGTGGTTAAAATTTCCGGAATGAGGCGTCTTTGATAATTAAATCGTGGGGTTTGGGACGTTAAACTCCACATTTATTATTATTATTATTTATTATTATTATTATTATTATTATTATTATTATTATTATTATTATTATTATTATTATTATTATTGTTGTTGTTGTTTCTTTATTTCAGTGCCTTCAGGGCCCGAAAGCGTTACAGAAGGGAGTGGCTAATAGTATACATAGTAATAAGAACAATAAGAGTGAACAAAGAAAAATGCTGCTAAGAGTAAACATCGCATTCACAGCAGCCTTAAAAGAAGTGACATCGGTTAATTGGGCAACAAAGGAGGGTAGGTGGTTCCATTCGTTCGAGGTAGTGGGAATAAAGGAATCGGAAAGAACTTGTTATGTGAACTTGGTTGTGTTGTTGTTGTTGTTGTTGTTGTTGTTGTTGTTGTTGTTGTTGTTGTTGTTGTTGTTGTTGTTGTTGTTGTCTTGAGGGCAATGGGCAACGAGGTGTTAACGAAAGGAGATGCCGTCAGGGAGTTGGATGGAGACTTGCGAGATAAAGACGCTTGCAGGCGTTTCGATGGAATCATCCGACTCGGGGCAGAGAAATTAAGAAAAAAAAAAACAGTTTGCCGAGGATAACGCTCTGTTTACGCGATAAAGCTTGAAGGCGTTGTTTATTCGGGAGTGCCTCGATCACGCATGATGTGCGGCGTCGCTATAATGGACATCGTGGACCGAACAGTGCATTGAAAGGTGCAGTAACCGTTTGAACGGCTTACTTGCCGAGTGCAGATATATGTTTCAGGAAAGGGAGGAATATGACGGATACAGGAGAGGACCGACGCTATAGTTGCGTGACATCATTCTCAGCTGCTAGGTTTTTTTTTTATCGGTCCTCGATCTATGAGGGCTTTGTTTTTCAGACACAGTGTACTTAAGGAGCATCATCATCATGCCATTATTATTATTATTATTATTATTATTATTATTATTATTATTATTATTATTATTATTATTGCACGTTGCATAATTGATTGATCGATTGTCATAATACTGATGAAACTGTTTCCGGTGAACGCAGGCGATGGAGAACGCCTTGCACTCCCGAGACCGGGTCGGAGTGCAGGACTTCGTGCTGCTCGAGGATTTCGAGAGCGAGCAGGCCTTCGTTGAGAACCTCCGGAAGCGCTTCACCGAGGACCTCATCTACGTGAGTCATCTACACTCGGGCGGGCGTCGCGTTCTAAACACAGTCTCTGTTACAACACGGCGTTGCGATTTAAACAGAGTCTCTGTTATGACACGGGGCCCGTCTCTGCGAGCACGTGTAATACGCATAGCCGCGTATCAATATACATTCGTCATCACAGGCATGCCCAAAGAGAGCTCGGGGTCCTTCGTCGCCGGCCCTAAAAGTAACGGGCGGTGATTGGGGAAGGAGGGGGGGGGGCTCGCGGATCGATTGCACAATCGCTAAGTTCCGAGTTTTGTGAACGCACGCTTTGCGCGGTTGTATTTTCTGTTGCTGAGCAAAGGATTGTGCACGCTGTCAACCGCGTTCTCAGAAAGAAATAATGGTCGTTTGACGCCTTTCTTGCGGGTTTCGACTTGTCACGTAGGTGACTCCCTTTGAAGAGACACGTTAACTCTCTTCGGAGATCCGACATACTCTCCCCAGAGAGTCGTGACACCCAAAAGGGAGTTAACGAAAGTCTTTGAAAAGAGTCATGTATAAGAGGCAAGCATAGGACTCACTGAAAAAAGGGTGAACGTGCACTTTTTTTACCCCTTAGAATGCAGCTATAGCTATAGTACGATCTACTAACAGTTTGTAAACAAAGGATCTAGGATATAAAGCCTTAATAAATACGTCGAGACACTGATGCACGAACTCTGTAACCTCTGTTCAATTTATTCATTCTTACTTGTTCGCATCCGGTTGGTCGCCGTTGGCAGCGCGACTGACGAGGCAACATGAGTGATGCACCAGAGAAACAACGCTATCTTTGAGTGTACTGTCTCTTTGTTCGTTATATATAACCAGTAATGATAACACGTATTAGTTCATTATAGCAATATTCACTGTATACAAGACCCACCATAGTCACAGTTTTGCTGGCATCAATCTTCCTGTAGTATAGTGTAAGCGCTCCGAGTTTTTATATAGGACGGCTTTTCAACACCTATAGCTGTCGCTCTACCTAGTTTGACGAATCGTTCTTTCTGTCCCCGCAATTATTTGTATACGTTCCACTTCCTTGATATATATTATTTTCCCACAGACTTACATCGGGCCCGTGCTGGTTTCGGTGAACCCTTACCGGCGCGTCGACATCTACAGCGACGACTACGTCAACCTCTACCGAAATGCAAACTTCTACGAACTTCCTCCGCACGTGTGAGTCACCTCGCCGCCACGTTGTTGTGATCTCCGTTTGTGTATATTAGTGCCTATTGTACGAGGTTCGATACAGAGCTGACACTGTGACTGAATAAGAACTTATTGCGGAGTAGTCGGTGAATAGTTGACGACATATTTTACAACGACATATAATGTTTTATGGCCCAATTAAGGGCTTTTTGACGGCCGAGAGCTCGCGCCATTTCTCCTGAGTTTTATTATCGCAATCGTTCGCCACTCGTTGCCACTCGTTGCCACTGCACTCGCTTCATGTCACTTTTACGATTTTATTGCTCATTATTAAGCACATTTTGTGCGCGAGATTTTTAGACTAATTTTAGCGCTAAGAAAGCCGTGCATATGGGAGACGACCGGAAAAGGGTTTGTCCTGTTGTCTCAACAAGACTCCATGCATGCGTGCGTGCGTTTGTGTAAAATCGAAAATTTTCGAAAGGGAGGGGGGAAGTTGACTCTTCCTCTGCCTACAGCAACGTTAGCTACAGCTTTGCAGAAGTGGTGTAGTGCACCTCGATTCATTCATTCAAATAGATTAATCGGTGACCATTGCAATTAAGTGATTCTTTCTTTTGCTGATCACTCACTCAAACACTGACACACACACCACACTCACTCAAACACACACGCACAAACACATGCACACACACACACGCACGCACACGGCATGGTGGAGCTTCAGATTGCGCGCTTTTCGCGATTAGTGCACGCGAGACACGAGGAGCAAAAGTAAAGGCCAAAAACGTCGAAGTTACAGCACACGATGGGCAGTAACTGGCCCGCAGTCGTGCACCACAGTCGATCGGGGCGAAGGTGCATGACTTGGCTGTCGTGTACGTCTCTCAAGGCGCGTTTCTTTCGTGTCGCCGTCGTTCGCCTATAGCCTCATTCAACGCAGTTGCACGTCCGGTTGAGCAACGAACGCCCGGGCATTAACGGAAATGTCGCTGAGAAGTGTATTACTCGAACGAAGTCACGCGCGAAAAGTACAAGCTGCTATACTGCACATTAATAAAGGGGTGGGGGGGAGGTGATGATTACAGGTTCTGGAAGTTCGTAATTTATGTGCGATTAGATCAAAAGTATTCCTTCAAGAGTTGAGTTCGCCGTATATTGCTCTAATTTTTAAAACCCCAACGAGCACGCCGTGAAATCGAAATCGACGGAGGTCGGCGGACTGCTGAATTAGCGAAAGAACGATCAGGCGCAGCCGACCTGGTGTGGCCACGTGTAATTCGTTGAGTTCTCCACTAAAAATGGGGGGGGGGGGGGGGTTGTATCCATTGCAGCTATAGGACGAGGTATCTCAAGTGCAATGTACGACGATATTGTAATGGAAGTGTGGCAGCTTGGGCTAGTTGGTATGGCATGACGATAGTTATAGCGCGAGAACAAAACGACGACACAAATACAAGAAGGACACGTCCTTCGTGTCCTTCTTGTCTCTGTGTCGTCGTTTTGTTCTCGCGCTATAACTATCGTCATTGTAATGGAACATTGGCAACGTTTCACTTGCATTTGCAACGTTACTATGCTTCCGTTTTTTGCAGTGAAAGTGTTTACTTGATTCCGCCAAAGGTACAAAAGGTACATTGAAAAGCATACTCTTCCGGTCTAGACGGATATCCTGGTGCTGAGTAATATATACATTGACACTCATGGAACTGCGTTTTGACAGCTGCGAGAACCATTTGGCTCATTGACGCGTAGGTTCGCCCTGACACACGCACTCGAACACACATGCTCGCTCGCACAGACACACACACGCACGCGCGCGCGCGTTGACACACACACACAAAAATAATAAAAGAAAGGAAACTCCACATCTGGCGGAGGCTTGCCAGCGGAAGTCGAAAACAGTCAACAAAACAACGTTGGGGGCCCTCAGCATGCGCGATGCCGCACGGAACCTATTTTTGCCTTTCGCGGGCATCCCTGACGCCGTTCAGAGCGCGTTGCCGCACTATATAGCTGTCAATGGCGGCCATATTGCGTGATTGCACTCATCGGCTCATAAGAATCTGGCTAAGGACGAATCATTCGTGGCCTGCAGGTTCGCCATCTCGGACGCGGCCTACACGAGCATGCACGAGGAGTGCCGCGACCAGTGCATCCTCATCTCCGGCGAGAGCGGCGCCGGCAAGACCGAGGCCTCGAAAAAGGTGCTCCACTACGTGGCCGCCGCCAGCCACCACTCGGACGCCGTGGAACGCGTCAAGGACAAGCTGCTGCAGTCCAACCCCGTGCTAGAGGTGGTTACTGGCGTCCCTTCCTTTCCTCTTTCTCCCTCTCCTTCCTTTCTTTGTCTCTCGTTCTCCTTTACCCTCTCCCTTCAATTACCTTTATTTTTTCTCTCCCCCTCTTTCCCTTTCTCTTTCTTTCTATCTTGCCTTCTTTCTTTCTTTCTTTCTTTCTTTTTCCGCTTGCACCGGTGTCTTTCCGATCTCTGCCCTGCTCACACCTTCCGTAAAGATGCTTTACCACAAGCACCAAGCACTGCGGCGAAAACGACTCTTCACGTAAAATAAAGTTATCTTCACAGCTTTCTCAAACTGCGCTTTCATTCGTTTGGCTAGTTATTCCGTTATTTAGTTTGCTCTTACATTATAGCATTTTTTGTGAACCCCCTTGAATGAGGGCATGAGGTGAGAGCCTGTCACATTCTATTGTACCTCTCTCCTCCCCCTCACACTTCTCATAATCCAAGGGCTGTAGAAGAGCACTGAGCTTCTACGAGAGCAATCGAATAGCGGTGGTTGTTAAATCCGCTGATCATAGTTTTTAGCACATTGTCTTCTCTCATAATGTTTTCTTACTTTCCACCAAGGCATTTTAATCAAGTTCATTGGGAATTACAATGTTAAACTTAATAAATGAATACTACTCATTCGGATTGATTTCTAAAACTTCAGAGCAAACTGAGATTCCTAAAGGCACATTTATAACCACCTCAAGTGTTTTCCATCACTTTGTATGGTAGGTGGCAATATTTTGAGAACAACCTTCTCCTTCATTGCCATGCATGCCTCCCTGCAAAGTGCACTGGCTGAACCAACGTTACTAGATATCTAGTAACCTTGGGCTGAACATTGGTATTTTGTGTAACAAAGAGTCGGGGCTTCTGGTTCTGGTGTTTTTTTTATTTCACTTGTACAACTAAAGTACATTCTCCAAGGTTTTGGGAGGGCCCTCTGAGTAATAACTTGACACTTTCTTTACTTATCTGTTGCAGGCTTTTGGAAATGCCAAGACGAATCGTAACGACAACTCAAGTCGATTTGGCAAATACATGGACATTGAATTCGACTACTTGGTGAGCTCACCTTCCATTTTGTACTTTTCAGTGTGCATCCCCGTCGACTGAAACCTTCAAAGGGTACTGTGTGGTTCATGAACGTCAGTGGCTGCACACATTCCTCAGTAGTGTCATCGCTTCAATCTATTGTTGTCAGCAGCTCATTCATCAAAAACTAGTTTGCCTGTAAGAGAAATAATGCATTCTCTCAGCCATTCAACAGATTTCGAATGGTCCTCAAGAACACACACGCAGCGATAGAAAAAAATAAGAAGTGAGAAAAAAATGTTACAAGATAAAATGCGAGGGAATTTTTGATGACATGAAACAATTGTTCTTGTCTAATTAAGTTCAGAAACTTCATAATTAAAGGAGGGGCAGGTATAAAAGTCATGCAGTAACTGACATAATTTATGTAAGACTAAATCGTAGAGCTTTCATCAATAGTAGAGCAATCAAAAGCAGAGCAATAAACAAACAAAGCATTAAGGGAAGAATAGCAGCTGAAGGCACCTTCCAGTTAATTGCCGAGTGCTGTTAATAATTCAAAGCTCAAAATAGTTTGACTTAATGTGTATTTATTTACACTTTATTCTCTGAATGAGCAGGTGGGTGATATATTTATATAACGATTAGGCCATGAGTACATGTAAGTAGACTATGTCTACTTAGGGCAGGTAATAACCGCAGAGCCGAACCACGAAATTGAAGTAACTAGAAGAATAAGAATGGGGTGGAGCACATTCGGCAAGCACTCTCAAATTATGACAGGTAGATTGCCACTATCCCTCAAGAGGAAGGTATATAACAGCTGTATCTTGCCGGTACTTAGCTACGGAGCAGAAACCTGGAGACTTACAAAGAGGGTTCAGCTTAAATTGAGGACGACGCAGCGAGCAATGGAAAGAAAAATGGTAGGTGTAACATGATTCGCTTCGAATTTGCTTCAAGCCCTAAATATACTATTCGCACAAGCCTAAGCAATAAGAGATTTTGTCAGCTTGTGCTGCGTCTCTCTGCATTTTTTTCAATGCAGGGCGCCCCGGTGGGAGGTCATATCCTCAACTACCTGCTGGAAAAATCTCGTGTAGTGCAGCAGGGCTCAGGAGAGCGCAACTTCCACATCTTCTACCAGCTCATCGCAGGTGCCGAGGATGCACTACTCGAAAAGTTGTCGCTTCGTAGGGACCCCACCTTCTACTATTACCTCAACCAGGTGCGAAAGAATGGGAGACGATCAAGGGCTCTTTTTTTTTTTCCGCTTGCAAAGGTGTCTTGCCGATCTCTGCCCCGCTCACACCTTCCGTAAAGATGCTTTACCACAAGCACCCAAGCACTGCGGCGAAAACAACTCTTCACGTAAAATAAAGTTATCTTCACAGCTTTCTCAAACTGCGCTTTCAATCGTTTGGCTAGTTATTTCGTTATTTAGTTTGCTCTTACATTATATCAATTTTTTGTGAACCCCCTTGCATGATAGCATGAGGTGAGAGCCTGTCGCATTTCATTGCACCTCTCTCCTCCCCCTCACACTTCTCATAATCCAAGGGCTGTAGAAGAGTACTGAGCTTCTACGGGAGCAATCGAATTGTTGTGGTTGTTAAATACGCTGATCATAATTTTTAGCATGTTGTCTTCTCTCATAATGTCTTCTTACTTTCCTCCAAGGCATTTAATCAAATTCATTGGAAATTACTATGTTAAATTTAATAAATAAGCACTATTCATTCGGATTGAATTCAAAAACTTCAGAGCGAATTGAGATTCCTAAAGGCACATTTATAAACACCTCAAAAATGTTTTCCGTCACCTTGTATGGTAAATGGCAATATTATGAGAACAACCTTCTCTTTCATTATCATTCATGGCCCCCTGCAAAATGTACTGTCTAAACATTGGTATTTTGTGTAACAAAGAGTCATGGCTTCTGGTTCTGGTGATTTTTTTATTTCCCTTGTAAAACTAAAGTACATCCTCCAAGGTTCTGGGCGGGCCCTTTGGATAATAACTTGACACTTTTTTTACTTATTTGTTGCAGGCTTTTGGAAATGCCAAGACAAATCGTAACGACAACTCAAGTCGATTTGGCAAATACATGGACATTGAATTCGACTACTTGGTGAGCTCACCTTCCATTTTGTATTTTTCAGTGTGCATCCCCATTAACTGAAACCTTCAAAGGGTACTGTGTGGTTCATGAACGTCAGTGGCTGCACACATTCTTCAGTAATGTCATTGTTTCAATCTATTGTTGTCAGCAGCTCATTCATCAAAAACTAGTTTGCCTGTAACAAAAATAATGCATTCTCTCAGCCATTCAATGGATTTTGAATGGTCCTCAAGAACACACAGGCAGCGATTGAAAAAAATAAGAAGTGAGAAAAAAATGTTACAAGATGAAATGCGAGGGAACTTTTGAGGACATGAAACAATTGTTCTTGTCTAATTAAGTTCAGAAACTTCATAATTAAAGGAAGGGCAGGTATAAAAGTTATGCAGTAATTGACATAATTTATGTAAGACTAAATCATAGAGCTTTCATCAATAGTAGAGCAATCAACAGCAGAGCAATAAACAAACAAAGCATTAAGAGAAGCATAGCAGCTGAAGGCACCTTCCAGTGAACTGCCGAGTGCTGTTAATAATTCAAAGCTCAAAATAGTTTGATTTAATGTCTATTTATTTACACTTTATTCTGTGAATGAGCAGGTGGGTGGTATATTTATATAAACGATTAGGCCATGAGTACATGTGATCACGCTCGTAGCCAGGAAGTCTCTGTGGTGATGGGGGGGGGGGAGGGCGAACTTGTTGTGGTCTGCATGCAGTTTTGTATAAGCAACAATAATAGGCCTGTGCGAATATTCAAGCACTTTGAATATTCAAAAGAATGTAATGTATTCAAATTTGCTTTGATACAAGTTTCAATTATTAGCAATTTCTAAGTACTCAAAATGAATGAAAAGGTGGCAATAATCTGCATGTAACCTTTTGTAAAAACATCTGCACTGCTGTGAAGCCCAAATTCAACGCTAACAAACGTTGGCCTATATGTTTTAAGTACAGAAATGTAACATGTTTTGCAGGGTATCACCTGCATTATTCCGAAAGTCAGATCCTGCTACTATTCAAAATTGCTTCCACTTTCTTAAAAAAATATTTACATTTACACACGCATTGTTCTAATTTAAAATGATTATATATATGTGTGTGTGTGTGTGTATTGTTCAGGTTAATTGGGTAATGACAAATGTGCTCATTTTTTATTATGTGATATATACTATTCAAATTTAACTTTAATTTATTTGAACCAAATCATGATTCACTTCGAATTTGTTTCAAGCCCTAAATTTACTATTCGCACAAGCCTAATCAATAAGAGATTTCGTCAGCTTGTGCTGCCTCTCTCTGCATTTTTTCCATGCAGGGCGCCCCAGTGGGAGGTCATATCCTCAACTACCTGCTGGAAAAATCTCGCGTAGTGCAGCAGGGCTCAGGAGAGCGCAACTTCCACATCTTCTATCAGCTTATCGCAGGTGCCGAGGATGCACTACTCGAAAAGTTGTCGCTTCGTAGGGACCCCACCTTCTACTATTACCTCAACCAGGTGCGAAAGAATGGGAGACGATCAAGGGCTCTTTTTCTTTTTTCCACACAACCTAGTAAAGCCGACAGACAGTGAAGCTAAGGAAGTTGTAGGAAATCTTATTAGTAATATTTTAATTGTAGCCTAGTTATTATGACATGGGTTTAAAGAAATCAAAGTGGGCGAAACAACAACTAGCTGGAGGTACGTACCTAACTTATGACCTTCGGATAACACGTCTGATGCTCCAATAACTGAGCTATGGTAACGGTCATCCTCTAATCATCTTTATTATGTAGTTCCGTGCACCTAAACCTAGGAGTGTTAGTCAATGCCAGTCATAGCTATGATGGCGAGTGTGAGGAACTCTTTCTCACCAAGTGACTGGTATTTGTTGTAGAGCTAAAGCTGCTGTCAAGGACCATTTGAAGTTTCTGACAGTGCAGTTCTTTCATGATTGTCATGGCTAGTAAGTAATTCTCTCCACAAGATATGCAGAAAATCTGGAGTAAAGTTTACAGGTGACATGTATGCTTGTTTTGGTGCTTATGTTAATTTCAGGGAGCTGCTTAAGGTTAATTTAAAGATGGCGGCTTCACGGCAATATGCAGAAATCTTTTTAAAGTTTTTTTTACTGTGGTTTATAGGTGAGTATGTGCATTATATACAAGGTTAGGTACACGTACAAGGTTAGGTGGAAGAAAATGCCGCACGAAATTTCTTGTCTAGGAATTGCAGTGGAACTGAACCTGTCCTTTCGGTCATGGCTGTGGAATTGTCCTCTTTGTTTCTCACTAGTTGAAGATAAATTGTGCCCTATATCGAAAAAAAAAAAACAAACCCGTCAGACCTGCATGAAAAGTACAGTGCAGTCACTGCAAAACCTCGAAGAGTGGCTTTTTGAGAGACCGTTGTTTGAGGCTACTAATACAAGTACGCTTGTGACCTACCCACTATGCTATAAATCGTAACTTTAGTCAAGCTGCGGAGCAGGCATTACACAATCATTCATCATTTTGTGGAGAAACAAGGCATCCACAAAACATATTTGCAAGGCAGTATATGCACTTGGTGCGGTGGCTGATGATGATGAAGAAATATTGATAAGCTCTTTGTAATTTTATGGAAGCATTTAATGATTCATTTGTTATGCAATTCCCATTGTGTAATGCCTGGTTACATAATTTGCATTGTGTGATGCCTGGTTCTTATGTTTCTCTTCTACTAAGCTATAATATGTTAGCGTCATTCCTTGCCCGACATGACTCTTGTATAGTGTATTTTTTCCAAAGGTAAGATACTGGGCTTTCACGGAGAGGGCCCGGGTTTCAATTCCGTTCCATCCTGATATATTTTGTTTTCTTCTTTGCACGATAGTGATTACGAACACCAGTGGCGGAAGACATCTATGGCACCGAAAATGGCCCTTGTTGTGACCTCATAGTAGCCTTTGCTGTAAAACCCAATGTGCAACTAAGAGTATGTGTCACATATTTGCTGTATCAAGATAAATAGTCTACTAAGTTACGTACCTATGCATATTGTGGTGCTTGGTACACTTGTGAGGCCGGTTTTTGCCAGTGTTTTCTCTCCAACGAGAAATTGTCTGATGTGTTTTTTTTCAATTTTAGGGAGACAGCACAGAAGTATTTGGAATTGACGATACAACACAGTTTAGAACTGTCAGGGATGCCCTCTCAGTGATTGACTTTTCACTCAAGGAAGAAGAGGTGAGTGTTACTGGCATAGTGTACAGACAGTAGATACATAGGATTCACATGTCGTGTAAAAGTCAACACATCAAAGCAAGGTTATAGCACATTTCTTCGGACGTTGAGATTCGTGAATACATGCCAGTGCATTTTACTGTGAATGGAAAGATTTCTAAACATTGCAATACTCTTTATTGCAGGAGATATTCGCCATAGTCGCCACTGTCCTTCACCTCGGCAACACTGGATTTGTTGAGGAAAATGGTGAAGCCATTATTGCGCAGGACAAGCCTGTTGCAGCCATTGCGAAGGTAAGTGACCTTGTTAGACTAACAATTATTCTACTTTAACATTTGCATGCACAGTGACTTCAAGTTAAAATGCACTCATTGGATATGAATACGATGCCGGTTTCTTGTTTGAATTAAACAGCTGCAATCTCATAATTTCAGAATGTTATCGGGCAGTGCCATGAAAGAGTTTCTTTAGTCTTGTGCTAATATGCAAGTGTGTTTTAAATGCAGCTGAAAAATTGTATGTGTTGGAAACAATATCACTTGTGATGCTATAAATATAATAAAAATTAGATAGTATTTTTAAATTATAAGGCTCAGCTAAGTACATGCAATAAAAATTACTGTTCGGAGCAGTTTTAATTGCACACTTGTATAATAAATTAGTTGACTTTCAACACATTTTGTTAGGCAAGCATCATAACAGAAAAGCTTTATTTGCAGTGCAGTTATTGTAAAACGTGTATTCTTTTCTCTAACTTTTTATTCCAAATTCATTTCAGTTGCTTTGTTGCCCTGAGGAAGTACTGAGGGATGCTTTGACCAACCGGACAATTGAAGCTAGAGGAGAGTTGGTAAGGCTGCATAATTAATGCGGTCTGTTTACATTCACTTCTCTAACTGTGACGTCAGTGAGGAATCAGTTGGAGGCATGGATAGCTGTACTGTTGCACTTACATACGTCATGGCTTAAACAATAATTGAGATTTCTGTCCATAATATGTGCTTAGTTTGTTGGTTTATTCCCATTCTTCACCTCCACCCCCATCCTCCATCTCCCATTTTTTTCATTTTCTTGTCCTTGTCATCTGGATTTTAACAGATCACTAGAGTTAGCAAAATCTGCATTAAATTAAGCCAAATGGGGTCACCTGCCATTAAACCCTCTTTCAATTATAAAGACAATAGCAATATTTCATGCCCTGAACACAATTTTAAAGTTTTAAAATTATTACTGGTGAGCTAAATCTCTAGTTCTTGTTTCAGATTGTGACCTAGAGTAATTTGTACTCCCTCAAAAGGTATTGATGGGCGAATCGTGTATTCGTCATCATTTCAACGGCAGTCATGTCACTGTGATGTAGATCAACACAAAAGATAGATAAGGTAGATTACAAGCATGGATCATTATAAGTATGATGTCTTGTGTTTAGTGGCCCCGCCGCGGTGGTCTAGTGGCTAACGTACTCGGCTGCTGACCCGCAGGTCGCGGGATCAAATTCCGGCTGTGGCTGCTGCATTTCCGATGGAGGTGGAAATGTTGTAGGCCCGTGTACTCAGATTTGGGTGCACGTTAAAGAACCGCAGGAGGTCAAAATTTCCGGAGCCCTCCACTACGGCGTCTCTCGTAATCATATGGTGGTTTTGGGACGTTAAACCCCACAAATCAATCTTGTGTTTAGTGTAACTTTTAATGTTTCTTTGTTGCACTTCAACAAAACCGCTGCTGTTTAAATTTTAAGCTGTGTTGATCTTCCAGCATTCTGTTCAGAGTTGGAGCATTGCTTTAAATGTTTAACTGACCCGGTGTGTATCACGAAGGACAAGAACACAAGGATGGGAACTTATGACGCTGCAATTCATGTTCCAGGTGACAACACCACTGAACCGCGACCAAGCAATCTATGCCCGAGATGCACTGGCCAAAGCAATCTATGAACGCCTCTTCAAATGGCTAGTGGAAAAGATAAACCATTCGCTGAAGCCACAGGTAAAATAGCTTTTATGCAAAATTTCATAAATTTGTGAAATACGTTTACACACTCTTATGGTGGCTGTGCCTGACTTGTGCATGGACGTAAGTGGCTAACAGTTCATGTATCGTGCCCTTATTTTTTCAGAAGACTCGCTCATCTGAGCGGAGGACCTTGATGGGCTTGCTGGACATCTACGGATTTGAAGTCTTCAAGAAAAACAGGTCTGTAGTGTTCTTTTGCTTTAACTATTCTTTACGTCCTTGGTTTACTTTACTAGAACACTTTTGTAAAACATTAATTTACTTGCACACACTACCATTGCTTATGTAATACAGGGCTTTATGCAGGTATACCTGAACGTACCTAGAAGCTAACTGCTAGGGAATGTATTTATAACATCTAGAACATAATCATAGTTATTTTTTTCCAACATATATATCCATTCAACGTATTGATGATCCGGCATCAATGTCTATTTAACACTTTTTCTGTGTAGAATCATGGGTCATTCAACAGTACCATCAACGTTGGTTTCACATGATCAGGAGCCAAATGAAATGTATATTATTAGAGGTGTTCAATGTACAACTGAAATGTACAGTAGAGATTCAAGCAATGTTGATGATTCATAGGGAAGTTTCTTTGCTTACACCATGAATAAAAGTAATTTATCTAAAAATGTCACACATAATTAAGATTCATTAATATTTTAACCAGTGTGTGCATTGTTCAAAACTGATCTGGTCCGGTTTTTCTTTGCAGCTTTGAGCAGTTTTGCATAAACTACTGCAACGAAAAGCTGCAGCAGCTCTTCATCGAGCTCACACTAAAGTCTGAGCAGGAAGAGTACTACAGAGAAGGCATTGAGGTATGCAGAACACACTCATTCGTCTATTGAGCATAACATTGCAGAATTCAACTGAACTGCTATGCTGATAATAATTAAGGCTGAATGCTATTCTGGTCTTAATGTGTGAGATATTGTTCCTTGCATTCCATATGCACCTAACAATCTTCATGTGTTCTGACTCAACATATTGAATGCCGATAGGCTGTGTGAATACAACTGTTGATCCTCTACATAACATCAATATACACTACTGTAAACTAGTTTTCAATTATGGAAGGCAAGGAGATGAATAGCTTCAGACACTAGCAAACGCAACCGGTGATGATTCCAAGTTAGTTATCTGGAAATTATACCCAAGATTACGTGCTATAATTACTGGTTACCATGTTCCCTGGTGCAAAAGTCTGTGTGTTGCATGTTTTTGTCTGGAAATACCATCATTTGGAGCATAAAAAGTTATACTCAGAATGAACGAATGAATGGGAGCCGACAAGTGAACCTTGACATGTTGCCATGCAGTGGACTCCAATCAACTACTTCAACAACAAAGTCATCTGTGATCTTGTGGAGGAAAAGCACAAGGGCATCATCTCATTGTTGGTGAGAGCGTTTGTTTACATGTAAATGGAAACTCGTGAGCAAACTGTGTGTGTTATTTTCAAAGTGTTTGCTCATGATGCGTAGCCACTGTACACTACAGTTAGGTGAAGGCAAAGCCCGAGCTGGGAAAAACTCTCAAAATACTCTATTAACTGCATGCTAAAAATTTTGGGTCTATGGACCTTTTAGAATGAAAAGTGAGTGAATTGGGGCGTGAGCTCTTAGAGATTGCATGCGTTTTGCAACACATGAATAGTGAAATGGAAAGATTTATGGATCACTCCCGGAAAGTTCGTTGACGATCGAGTACCTGTATGCGGTATTTATATGTTTTCAGCTCTTCCCAAGGGACATGACAATTCACACTTTAATGCAACACATTAGTTTTACTTCTTGCCGACATTGCAGGCTGCTACAATATCTGCTAAGCTAGACAATTGTACTCCTTTCAGTTTTTTTTTTTTTTCAATACATATCTTACTAGCTAAAACAATTGATTGATCACTCCTTTTCTCTCATTGCCAGGCTAAAATTGAGTGAATGGCTGTGCTAATATGAAGAAAGTGACATGAGCTGTCAATATTTCAGGATGAGGAGTGCCTCAGGCCTGGTGGTGCCACGGACAAGACATTCCTCTTCAAGATGGAGCAGACCATTCGCATGCATCCTCATTTTGTAACGCACAACCTGGCCAGCAACAAACTGAAGAAAAGCATTGCTAGGGATGTGAGTGACAGGCCATTAGTTCTTTTTATATATATTCACTATTAGATTCTTCTCACTGCTTATCGAAAGTGTTACAATCAAGGCGTTCCTGCACATTTTTTTTCAACGTGGCACTTTGTGGCATCAACCTTATTTTAAACACGTTAAAATCCACCTTCTAGTACTGCAATGCGAATGAAGTGGTGACATTGTGTTGTCTCATTTCTCCGGTGCAGGAGTTCCGGCTCATTCATTATGCTGGTGATGTAACCTACAAGATAGAAGGTAAGTTGGAACTTTGAAGCAAGTCACTGTATGACCTTTTATGGTCGACCAACAGATATGGTGTCTAGTGGCATAGTCAGAGGCACACCTAGCTTATGCACCCCCCTCCTCAAAATTTTTTTCGCCATGGAATATAAGGGCCTATAATAACATTTTTTAAAATTTGAACGAATTTTATTTCTGGAAAGATACAGAAAAACGAAGAGAAGCTAAAAGCCATTCAGCCTGACGTGACTTCGCTACGCGAAATGTTAAAACGTTCAGCAAACAGTTCTACATTGAATAATAATTATCAAAATACAAGAAGCAGCAAAATAACAAACACAACAATAGCATAAATGCAAAATGGGCGACATAGACATACAAAAAATAGGCACATAAGCCAGATATGCCGGCCCTTATCCCACTCCAGATCAAGAAGTTGCCTCTTTCAAAAATAATTTCTGGCTATGCCCCCGATGGTGTCTACTACTGAGCAGAAAGTAGCAGGTTTGAGACCCTGGAGTAGTAGCTGACCTACAGCTATTAGCTGGATTCGGATGCAGGTGTAATGTAAAAATACTTGCATACTTAAATTTTTGATGCACATTTAAAAGTCTAAACTTGTCCGAAATGATGCCCCACCCACCCCCTTGCATGGGATTTGTCATAGCCCATGCGCCACTTTTGGATGCCGAACCACAATTACATTCTTGAAAGCAGTGTGTACGGCCCAATTCAACCGCATAATCGAAATTGTGTCACATATTTTTTTTTCCTTCAGGATTCCTCGACAAAAACAATGATTTGCTGTTCCGCGACTTGAAGAAGGCAATGGCTGGGGCTGGTAACAGCATCATCAAGGATGCGTTTCCGGAGTCGGAACTTCTGAGCAAGAAACGGCCACCTACTGTGAGCACACTGAACTAAGTTCTCGACGAAATTGGAAATTGTGCAAAACGAGATAAAACTTTCTAGGTTGCCCCAAACACTATTGAATTTCTCCTTTCAGGCAGCCACGCAGTTCAAGCTGAGCTTGCAGGAACTCATGGAGATATTGATGTCTAAAGAGCCTTGGTATGTCAGGTGCATCAAACCGAATGACTTCAAGCAGGCATGTAAGTGTTTTCTAAAGTGTACATGACTCTGACATAAATACAAAATACCAAGTTATAAAAATAAGATTTAAAGCATTCATTATCAAAAGCTGACACCTTTTAATTAGAGAGTGTTAGAACTGAGTTTATACTGTTTGCATCGCTTGGGTATACATGCTATTTTTGAAGTTGTAACATACATACCCATGATGTTATCATATTATGCTTGCAGAATAGTAACAAACACTAACACAAAGCCTAGTGTACTTCATTAATAAAACTACCTATTAAGTAAGAGTTTATATGCCATGTGGTGAGGCTTCAGATGTTTTCGGTTGGTCATGCAAGCAAACGCGCAAAACATGCCACTTCAGAACTTTTGTATTATTAACTGATATATTTAATAAACTTTTGCTCATCGTGAGCAGAGCTTTCTGCTGCAAGCATAGTATCTTCTATATAAGCGGCACTTCGCATTATGGCTAGGCCTGTCATTACCCTCATGGGAATAGCCGGGTGGGTGCAGGGGACACTCTCCCCTAAGTCGGTAACAGACCTCAACAAAGTTGCGCTCTCTCCCATAATGGCAGTGCAGAAATGGGCGTGTTTTGATCACTTGTTGTTACACGATGTTTACGATGGGCACGTTTGAGTGTATTTTTCTTGCTAAAGCCTCTTGGCAAACACTGCACTGAGTGCAATTTCATTTTCTCTCTTCAGCCAAGTTTGACGAAAAAGTGGTGGGCCACCAGGTTCAATACTTGGGCCTCCTGGAGAACCTGAGGGTGCGCCGCGCCGGCTTTGCATACCGACGGCGATACGAGACGTTCCTGGAGCGGTACAAGTGCCTCTGTCCCGAGACTTGGCCCCGGTACCGAGGTGGTACTGCCAAGGAAGGTGTGGCTGCCCTCATCAAACACCTCAACTATGACTCTGAGGAGTACTCGATGGGACAGTAAGCACATACTCAACACTTCCTCCCTTCACTGTTCTGCTTAGCATAATTCTCAACCAGTCATATTTAAAAATTCTGTATGTGTTCTGTTTTTCACCAAGTGTACGCTGCATTAGCCAGTCATTCAAATTAACCTTGTCGACACAAACTCAGTGGCGTACAATGTGTCCTGGTGACATCGAGAGACTTCAGAAGTGCACTAAATATAAAGCGGATATTCAGAAACGTTCCGTTCTGTGAGCTTGTAGCCTTTGTTTTTCCACGCTCGCAGCTCAATCCATCGCATAAAAACTTCAATTCTGACGCCGTTGTAAGCTCGCTGTTATATTGCAGTGTCAAACATGTGAAAAAGTAGGCCTTAAGGATTTTACAACGTGGCCAAGTTAGGCAAGGTGGATGTACGGGAAAAAAATATACACGTTCACATATCACTATGTATTATTTTCAATGGCTACAAGGATTTAATATTAGTGAACTTTGTACCATATTCACTTAATCCCAATGCCACTACAATTGTAATGCTGGCGGTGACCTCAAGAAAGAAAAAAATAAAAAAATATAAAAGAATGGTGTGCACCATTGCACTTTCGAGAACTTAAAATTTCGGTAGTCGATGGTGTCAGCACAGTGTCGTTTCTTCCTCTGTCGTCTATATTTTTGCACTGCTTTAACTTCCCAAGTAACGCGGGGGTAGAGTTCGTGTATCATAAATCTGGAAGAAATTCGTGTTACATTCAAGTAAATACGACACTAATATTATTCTGTTATATTATATTGCTTCTTAATCTTATGGTTAACATCAAGTATCTCTAATTCTCGATAAATTTTTTTTTCAGCACAAAGCTCTTCATCCGGTTTCCAAGAACCTTGTTTGAAACTGAGGATGCATTTCAGCAAAGGAAGCATTACTTGGGTAATTGCACTGCATGAATTATGTGGGTTTCTGCCTAGCTTGTCTGCCCAAGAAAGTCAATAGTGTTGCTGCAAGCACGGAGTTGCGCAAAGCATTAGCAGTGATTTGGTGAATAAATATTGCCATCAAGAGAAAGTATATTTATAGGAAAGGCAGAGAAGTTGTATTTAGGTATGCATGCAAGTTTTATGGCTTGAACTTACTGCAATGTTTCATGCATAAGCCTTTTTTTCACTGTATATTTGATGAAATTTGTCAGTATGAACAAATTGAGCAGTGATTTTTTCTATAATCTAAAGAAGTTAATGATTCAGGCATGAAAACTTCAAAGTGACGAACAGGCTCATAATAGTAATATGGTTTCAATGGCATGTGCCTACAATGTTAACTTGAATTGATGGTGCAAATGGTTAGACAGGGGCGACAAAGACTTTTTAGACACATCTTTTTCGCCCCTGTCGAAGCAATTGTGCCACCAATTCAAGTTCTGCTATGCACCAACTAGCACGACAGCAAAGGCTATGATGCCTGCGACGTGTTGTTGTTGGCTGTTGTGCATTTTCTTGCTTTTACGAACCATCTAAGCACACAAGCAAAATTCAGCTCGTGTCTCTACGAAGTGCAGGTAATGCATACATAATTCAGCACCTTACCTATGGAAAATTTACTGGAAACCTCTACCTCTTTACATAGCATTAGTTTAGTCTTTGCAAGCAAAGAAGTACTGGCATGTGCCTGTCATGTTGGCTAAGTGACTATATGACATTTTTTGCTGAACATTGAAGGTATGGCTCTTGCTGAGCACAGCTTACTATTGCAAGGGGTAAAATGTAAAAATACTTTTGTGACTATGTTTTGGTTAATTCGAAAAAAATCCAGGGTGCAGAAATTAAAATGCAGCTTTTTGCTACAGTCCCTCGTATGATCAATCAATTCACTCAATCTTCTGAGCGGGCAGTGTCTCGAGGTTTATGGCGTTTACACTTTTCTCCATTTCTTTTCCAGCATCTGTGATTCAAGCAGAATTTCGATGCTACTCTGCAAGAAAGAAGTACCTGAAGATGCGAAAGCAGGTGTGCAACTTGTCTGAACAGTACTGCTCAAAGCAGTTCTTCGTTTTCGAGTAGCACGTTTTTACAGCTAGGCACATTCCTTTAATGTATACACGGAATACAGTAAACCCTCATTATGATGTAGCCAGCGAGACGGCAAAAAAATTGGATATAAACAATGGTTTGACATACGAATCTGCAACTTGTTACTTCGCTCGCGAAGCAAGCTATTGATATGCTTCGAGTAGTGCGGTCTAAAGTACTTGTATTGGGGTCAGGACTCCGTGACACATAAAAGCAATAATTTGAATAAAGCGACTTTGTTGCAACGAGGGTTTTCTGTATGTGGTTGTACAGCTGAAATGCATGTTAAGCATTTTAGCCATACAACCACAGTTGAGGAAGCTTCTAGGAGGTAAAGCAGAACCACCTAAATGTAAGATGTAATTGAGAAGTACTAAGAACTGGCCAGATAAAAATGCGTGCATGTTTCGGTGGACCTTTTGTTTCATGTTTCATCAAATGAAACTTTTTGGTTTTTACAGCGATTCTGATCGAGAACTCTTGGCGGAGGTACCAGGCACAGTGCCTGCTGGAGAAAAGGAGGAATGCAGCAACCGTCATCAGAAGGTAGGCTATCGAGCAGATGGCATCAAGAAAAAAGATATTCTGCCATAACAAAAATATAGAAATAGTTCTTAAATGTGGCACTTCAATTCGAACGCATGCACAGAGATGCTGTGAGTGTTCGTCAGTTACTCGTTGAAAAATATCCAAACGCAGATGGATGATTGAAGAGACCAGTTTTGCAGCTGCTGTTTCTGATCAGATTGGTGTCTATCCTGTGCAAAATGTTGAAAGTGAGAACTTATCTTTTTGATTCGGATACTACTTACTTATGCACTTTGCCATTTTATTGTACGCATCAAGTGAACAGTTGGAATAGCATTTGTGAATATGAGTTACATGATTCTTTTTTTAGTGGCGCCAGTATTCCCTATGGCATCAGTTAAATAAAAAAAAGTTCTGTTTCCTGTATAAAGGCCAGGAGTTGTCGATGCAGTGGACCGTGTGTCCAGCGGGTCAAGTCAGGTGGTCAGCCGGGGTGGTGGTGAAGCCCGAGTAGGTGGTGAGTGCGAGCCTAGTGAAGGCCCGGGCAAGTTCCCAATAGGTGGTCAAGCGTCGCCTCTGTGGCTGGGGCAACGCAGAATGGGCATGTCGTTGGGGGAGGCTGTGCTCCGGATGTCCATGTAGCCCGGATTGCAGGAGTCAAGGCGGTGCCCACACGAATCCTCCTGTGTGCAACCTCCCCTCGGCGAGTTAAGCCACCGGGAAGGTCTGATCCACGCGGAGGAATGAGTGCACGCCTGGAGCACGGGAGGGTTTCTTTGTGCACGAGCAAGCTGTCCTTCTGGGACAAACGAAATAGAGGCAGCGGGTGTTGAACAGTCGCTGAATGGCAAGCGGCATCTGCTTCCGATTCAGCCTGTATAGACCGGCGGGTCCACGATACACGAACAGGACATGCACACGAGTGGATCAGTCGGTGTATATCAAAGGCTATATCAAGGGAGCTGGTCACTTTTCGCAGCTCTCGGACTGCCTGCAGGGAGTCCATATATACAAGCAAGTTATCGTGTGACAAAAAATCCATTTTAGATATCATAACTTTCAACCCGTCCCGTATCGCAATGAGCTCCACTAATACGGAGGAAACGGTGCCTCTGTTCGTAAGAGCAGATATTTTGGATTTCAGGTTCCACGGGGCAGACGAGACTGGTGTGCAGAACGCAGTCATCGATAGCTGCGTCCACGTATACCGCTAGTGAGTTGTCAGTGGTAGTGACGACGCCCTCCTTCACCACTTGTCGGGTGAATTGTTGTAGGCAGGTTAGTGGTTGGTTATCACTAGCCTGTGCCTTGAGCCATGGTGGAACTTCTGCCAAGGGTGGGTCAGGCTGTGACAGCATTGAATTGTAGTAGTGAGCTAGAGCTGCCACTGTAGGAACAGCTTGACTCTTTAGGTAGCGAGCGACTCGACGCTGGTGTGCAATTTTGTCGATGGTGTTCAGCTGCGCTTCCGCCTGGAGGGTTGCGATAGGCGTTATACGAGGAGGGCATGTAATCGTCCTCATAGAATCTTAGTTGGCGGTTTCGAGCAAGTCGCTGTCTCTTAATGTTAGTCATTGAAACTGAGCTTGATAAACGAGCTGAGGTTGTATGATTGATCGCACTAAAATACGGGCCATTCGAGAACAGGCACCTCCGGTCTTTTGAGAGATGCGACGAATGAGATGGAGGGTATTGGCACTCTTCCGACGAGCAGAACGAACCCATGCATTCGCAAAGCGAGATGCGTCCAGTTCGAACCCGAGCACACGTATTGTGGATACAGGGATGGGTGTGTGGCTATTTAGGCTCAAACAAATCGGCGTCTGCAGGAGGCGATGGCGACCTCGTCTGTTGGTGATAGACATGAATGCAGTCTTCGTGGCAGGTAGTGTCAGTCCTATGCATGCACACCAGTTCGACGCCTTGCCCAGAGCACTCTGGAGTGCCTCCTGGTGGCGCTGTAGGTCTGGATGTAGTGCCCCCACATTCAAATCATCCGCATACAGGAGGAAGAAGGCATCTGAAATGCGTGCTAGTTGCCATGCGAGGGGCGACAGGGCAAGATTGAAAAGTATCGGGACCAGCACAGAGCCCTGCGGTACACCCCACTTCATTACAAAGTGTCTGGTTCGTTCCTTGCCTACTCGGATTCAGAAGGTGTGGTGTGCCAGAAAAGACACCACAAAGTCGCAGACGCGAGCCGGAAGTTGAAGCCATTGCATTATGCGAATGATCACAGAGTGGCTGACATTGTCGTAGGCCTTGTGAACGTCCATGGCGAGAATGGTTCGAATGCTGCTTGATCTTCTTCCAACAAGCACCATGAACGTCAAATGATGTAGGCCATCTTCTGTGCCCAAATGCGGTCGAAAGCCAATCTGGGCCAGGTGGTACCAGGCGTTCTTTTCCAGCCACCAGGAGATACGCGACGGCAACACGCGTTCAAGAAGCTTGCACAACGTACACGTCAGAGCAATCGAGTGAAGATTAGAGAGGTTGCTCGGTGCTTTCCCGGCTTTGGTATCGGCACAACTTCGGCATGCTTCCACGATTCAGGCAGCTCTCCGGTCGTCCAGATGGCGTTAAGCATGTCCAGCAGCTACTGTAGTGCAGGGTCATCCATGTTTTTGAACACTTCATAGGAGATCCCATCTGGTCCTGGTGCCTTGCGTACTTTTGCCTGGTCAATTGCTGCCTGGAGCTCCGCCATCGTGTACAGCGCTTGCATGCCTTCGATGTCTGACAGACCTGGAGTCGCGCCAACCTTCAGAGGCAGGTTACACGGACAGTCGAATTGTGGTGAGGCCAAGTCGTAGGCTGGGATAAAAGCCTTAACTATTTCTGAAGCGAACTGGCTTGGTGTGCGTCCAGATGACAGACACGCACTGGCCGCTGGGTCTGGCGTACGGGTGCCTAATTTCATGCTCCGGAACGTTCGCCATATTAAGACAGTTGAAGACGATGGACCGAGTAACGCACACCAGTCCATCCACCGTTCCCGGTCGAGACGCTTCTCGCAGCGATGCGCTGCAGTGGCGAGTCTGCTGAGGTTATCACGAAGCTAAGCGGCTGCCGGATCTTGGTTTAAGGCTAGTTCTGCACGACGGCGTGCTGCCCACAGACGCAGAAGATGTAAGTTTGGATGGGGTTTGTTCTCCTCTACCCAGCTTGACTGTGTAGCGGCTTGTACAACTCTGGTTAACACCGGCACTGGATCAGAAATAGAGGCATTCAGTTCCTTGCGGAATAGGTCCCAGTTGGTTGTGTGGCATCGACGTCGGAGGCGGTGCTGGTTATACGCGGCCAAACCGATCATCAACTGATGGTGATCTCTCCCCCAGCACTCAGGTTCTAGGTCCCACGAAACGTCCCACATGTCGAACCACCACGAGAGATCGGGCGCATAAGGTGGAGCACAGGAATGATCCCACCGACGTGTAGAAGTAGCCGGGGCATTCAGAAGGACAAAGTGCGCATCTGTAAATGTGTTTAGCACGATGTTGCCTCTAGCACAGGAAGAAAGGTAGCCCCACGACTGATGAGGTGCATTGAAGTCTCCCCCAACTAACACTGGGCATGCAGGGTAGGTTTGACGCAGGTGAGCAAGCCACCCCAAACGCAATCGAGGAGCACTGCCACTATATTGACACACGTAAACTAAAACCACAATCACGTCAGTGCGCGAAAGTCTAACGAGCACTGCCGCCTCTTCTTGCCACTGGTTACACCACGGCAGCAGGGGTACTTGAGTTTTAGGATATGTAGTCACAACATGCACTGCAGCCTTGCCTGGAGGTCCCAATGCATTGGTGCAGCGTCGATCAGGGATGGTTAGGGAAGCATACGCAGTGAATCTAGGGATGCGTGGGAGCGAATTCGTTTCCTGTAGAAGCAGGCACCAAGCGAGGAGCTTCCCCAGTGCAAGGCGACAGCGAAGCTCACCAACTTTATTTGCAAGTCCCCGGCAGTTCCACTGCAGGACACAGTGGTGGCGCGTTGCTTGCGCAGGAGCAGTCATTTTGGTGGGAGGTTCGCGAGCAACCCCTTTGAAAGCTCTTGGAGTTGCCGGGCAACAAAGTGGAGGAGCTCTGCCGGAGTCATCTTGACTGGTGTTGACGCGCTTGCAGAGGATGATACAGGCACAGAAGCAGCGTTCGGCACGTCTGTACCGTCCATCGCAGTTGGTTCAGTGGGTCGAGCGAGATGGGTTCTGCATTGAGCGAGGCACTTGACTTCCATTTGGAGCTACGCTATTTGTTGATAAAGCTTCGCCAGGTCGTCTGTCGTTGTAACACTCAATTTAGGCATGTTCGCAGCCTGCTGAACGTGTTTTTTGCCCTGCTTGATGGCGTCACTGTACGTGGGGGCTTTATAGCAAGCGTTGTCAGGTTCAGCCAATGCTGGTGTGTCCTCTTCCGAGGGGGACAACAGTTCAAACCGATTAATAGTCGGAATGACGGCGTCCCTTTCTTCTTGTGTCATTGAACGCTGGCGGTGCTTGCATTGGCAACGGGCTTTGAGAGCCTTCTGTTTAACTGGACAATCTTTGGACATTATATCATGATCGTCCGTTTGGCAGAGCCTGCATTTGTACGTGCGCGTCTCGGCAGACTCCATGGAAGTGTCTGCGGGTAGGGGACAAGAATCTCGCATGTGACCAGTATGAAAACACCTATAGCAATGTACCACACCGGGCTCGTACAGATGAACTCGCAGGATGCATCCATAGCACGTAATGTGGCTTGGTGGCGTTCGAGGCCCCTGGAGAGTGACCAGGCACGTGCGTCCATGACCCGTATAACGAGCTGTTATGATCTTGTGAGTGGAGCTGGTCAAAGCAGTGACAAGGCCCTCCGCCGATTCCCTCGGGTCAACCCCAGAGACTACATACCGACGCAGGTCCAAGTCGGAACTCAACTATGCTTGCACTTGCACAGTTCAATCAGCTGTGACAGGCAAAGTTTGCAGTTTGGTGAGGCGGTCAACATCCACTGGCGAACGCACTCATATGGATATGCTGTTGGTGGGATGGTGAACGGAGAAACCTTAAAACGCGGTGGTTTTGAGGCAGGCATCGAAGGCTGACTGAAGGAGGCGATTTGACAATTTTGATACATAAAAGCACTCACGTGGTTTTACGACGATCTTGTACTTAAACTCGGTGCCAGGCAAGGCAACAGCTGCCGGAGTGGGGCATTCCCGCTTGCTTGCCGGTGTGGCTGAAGCAGACAAATTATCCGTTTCCATTTGTGAGTCAGCCACACGTTTCGCACTGCGTTTCGGAGCGAAGGCTGGTTGTGATGGCTGCATCATAAGCTCCGCTGCAGCCGTCGATGCTGGTTCACATGAAGAATGCGGGAGCGTTGCCGCCGCCAGATGCGACCGGCGAGACGCCGGAACTGTCCTGGTGAGTGTCCCACGCACAACGTTGAAGCAAACGAGGCCAAGGGTAGTTAGTCCAGGTCGTCGATGGTGTCCGGAAGAAGAGAGCCTGGGGGAGACCCCACGGCCTTGTCCAGGGCGTTCGGCAGGTCTGTTCTTAGCCGGTGGGGCCAGACAGCTAGGCGTCGTTGCGTTAAGCCTGGGTGCAGACAGTGCGGGAACGCCGGTGGGGCGATGGTCGCGCGAGCCGATGCTATCAGCCGATATTCACGGAGCTGTCGAAACTCGTCCATTTTCGTCAGCAGCTCAGCTGCGTCTTGAGTAACATGATTGGACAATATATTTCAATGCCTTGTTGTAAGCTTTAGGTTTAGTTGGCCCTTGGACATTCTGTTATTAAATACAATACAGTACTGTGTTTATTCAACTAAAGCGGCTGGGATTGTCAAGCAAAGGGCAACTTTCGGTGAGGAATATAATAAAAATGAAAGGATTCTGTGGACTGCAGTACTTAGTAGACAACTTAAATTTTCGTAATTGATTGTAATGCAAGGGTTGACCTCGGGTAGCAAATATCTAGAAAAAGATTGCGTTGCATTCGAGCAAATACGGTACATTTGTAATGTTGCTTACCTGTATCTTCTTTTTGATGCGTATATTTTGTTTAAACTAAACTTCTGCCATCCTTACACATGCACAAAACAACTATATACAATGTTTATTATCACACTTTTCTATGAATTCCAATGCATTCCCATAGCTGATTGCCTTTTGCTTGATGTTACAATTGCCTTTCAGATTCATTAAGGGCTTCATCACAAGGAATGAGCCAGAGAATGATGTGAATGCGAGGGTAAGCAAAATTACTGGTATAAAGAGCCATACATTTTATTTTATTGAGATACACTTATCTTTTACAAATTCCAAAGCTGCCAACAGGAATGGATAAACATGTTTGTGTCGACATATCCGCCCCCTATGTATACAGTTTCTTTAACTGTACTGTCAGCATCGGCAGACATTGCCTTTGTGAGCTTTACCCGAGGGCACTGATTTGAAATCAGTGTACAGCATTCAAAAGTACTCGCTATGCCCAGGAATGTTCTGAAACGTGCGCACAAAAGCTTGACGTCCATACATCAAGTCCTGCATTATTCACCATATCGTATGAAGGAATGCCAGATTGGTTGCTCTGTATGCCATAAATTTTCTGCAACTCTAAATGCTGCCCCAAACTTTGACGGTCACTGCTACACAGCTCAATCGTGTGGAGACAGTTTATGAACGATAACAGTATAAGTAGATTACAACTGCAGCTGGATGAGTTACGGAATAGAAAATATCATCTGTTTTTTACAAACTGTAAGTCTGCACTCATTTGTCTCCTTTGTTTACTTATGTCCTGTCTCGCTGCACTGTTTGTAAAGAAGAATAGTCTCACCTGGCTATCCAAACAACCTCTTATCACCTTGACAGTGTGGACAGCAAGTTCAAGTTAGGGTCCCTCTAGCACGTAGGTGTAAACTTACCCAGTCTCTATAGCTCTACACGTCAGCTACTTGTGAAGGCACATAGCAAAAGCCATGTATTCCCACATACAGTGCTCAGCTATAGTAGGACTGTGCATTTTAATTGAAAAGTGCATTATATCCCATTTGAGAGTGTTAGTTGGGAGGCGGCCACGCCGCTCCAGCAGTAAACGTGACAGTCGGACCATGCCAACAGAAAAGAACAGCCAGTTTTATTCACACTCGTGAATATATATAGGAAAGTAAGGGGGAGAGGGAAGGGGGATAAGATTGTGCACATGCGCACTTGAGAGCTTGGGTCGCGTCGTTCAATGGGTTACAGCATTTCTTCCCCCTTAGTAGCCAAAACGCACGACCGGTTTCTTGGCTCGTGTGGAGCGACGTAGTACGTATGGTTGCGATTCTGGGGTACTCTGAGAGGTAGCCGGCGCCGTTGTTTCTAGTCGTACCGGCCCTGGGGAAACCGGTGTAGATGGCCTCGACATGTCGTCGGCTGCTGGCGTTTCATCTGGGCTCCGCTTGCGAACTTGATCCACGTGGCGGCGGACAAGGCCATCCACAGTCTTTACCTCCAGGAGGCGAGTGCCACGCGTAGCCTCCACTGTGCCTGGGAACCACTTGTCTCCGGCGCCGTAATTTCGCACGTACACGTAGTCTCCCGGTGCAAAATTCCAGCCTGGGTCACTCGCAGCTTTGGCAGGATAGACTCTGGAAGGAAAAGACATCTCCATTCTTGTGCGCAGACGGTATCCTAATAGCCTCTCTGAGGGAGAAGGACCCTCCTGGTGTGGTGCGTTCCGATAATTGCACAATACACGTGCCAGTGAGGTGAGGAGGCAAGTGCCGCCTATCTTCTTCAAGCCATCTTTGATAGTGCGCACGGCTCGCTCTGCTAGTCCATTACTCTGGGGGTGATAGGGAGGTGTTCGAATATGCGCAATGCCATTGCGCTCCATGAACTGCTCGAACTCTCGTGCCGTGAATGGCGTCCCGTTGTCAGAAACCACCGTGCGCGGTATACCAAAACGGCTAAATATCGTTCTGAGGGCCTCGACTGTGCTATGCGAGTTGGCCTGCGACACGGGAAGCGCCTCAATCCACTTGGTGTGCGCGTCGACAACGATGAGTAACATTTTCCCTTTTACTGGTCCCGCATAGTCCACATGTAACCGCGACCACCTTTCGTGCGTCTCGGGCCAATTTACTGGTTCTTTTGCCTGAGCCATCGGCAACGCTTGCACACAGTTTTGGCATGTCGCCGCAACGCGCTCGATGTCTTGCTCTACGCCGGGCCACCAAAATAACGATCTGGCCTTCGCCTTCATGGTGGAAATTCCTTGGTGGGCTTCATGCAGTAGCCTTAGCAACTTCCCGCGTGCTGCTGTCGGCACTACAAAGCGATGGCCCCAGTAAAGAAGTTCTTCACTAACAGACAGCTCATGCCGCCTTTTGTAAAAATCGGCGATTTCTGTAGTTTCCGTGTCGAGTTTTTTCGGCCAACCTTCCCGGGTATACTTGCGTACCTGGAAAAGTACCTCATCCGCGACGGCGAGTGCCTGGAGTTCCTTCCATGGCAGGGCCGGCTGATCCCACTGGTCCAGGGTCAGAACTTGAGCTTCGTCCTCCTGGTCCACTTCTTCCTGCAACGGTTGGGGTAGACGGCTAAGAGCATCAGCATTGCACATGAGTTTACCCGGTCGATGTTGCAACCGATAACGGTAGGCACCAAGTATGATGGCCCAACGCTGAATGCGCGCAGCGGCCATAGCCGGCGTCTGACGATCCGCTCTTAGGAGACCCAACAGTGGTTGATGGTCGGTTAGAAGCGTGAACTGTCTGCCCAGCAGATAATCTCGGAATCGCGTGACGCCATAAACCAGAGCCAACGCCTCACGTTCAATCTGTGCATAATTCTTTTCTGCGGCAGTAAGCGTCCTGGATCGAAATCCAAGGGGCTGATACTGTCCTTCAATTCGGTGGAATAGTGCCGCTCCCACACCGTAGGGTGACGCGTCGCACTCCAGAAATAGCTCTCGTGCGGGATCGAAGTGAGTTAACACAGGCGCGGAACACAAAACGGCTTTTGCTTTTCGGAAGGCATCGTTTTCGCGCTCATCCCAAGACCATTTCGATTTCTTTTCCAGAAGAAGGTATAGGGGACTCAGGAGCGTGGACAGATTAGGCAAGAATTTATTGTAGAAAGTTAGCATGCCCAAAAAAGACCGCAATTCCGTGACATTGTGAGGAGTCGGTGCCAGCTTAATTGCTTCGATGTTCTTGTCTGACGGGTGCAACCCTGCCGCGTCAATTCTGTGTCCTAGATACGTAACTGACTCCTCACCTATTCGGCACTTGTCCGCGCGGAGCTTCACGCCGTACTCCCTGAACCGCTGCAAGACTGCTTGCAGGTTCGCAGTTGGCTTATCGTTCGCATCTGCTATCAGGACGTCGTCTAAGTACGCTTGAACCCCTGGGAGGCCTTGCAGCACCTGCTCAATTGTTCGTTGAAAAATCGCAGGGGCCGAGGCTATCCCAAACGGTAGCCTGTTATAACAAAAGAGGCCCTTGTGAGTGTTTATAACCGCTAACTTGCGCGAATCTTCGTCTAGAAGAATTTGGTTGTAGGCATCACGTAGATCCAAGATACTGAACTGCTGCCCTCCACGAAGCGTAGCGAAAATGTCGTCCACTACGGGTAGAGGATAACTTTCCATTTCACATACTGGGTTTAGAGTAACTTTGAAATCGCCACAGATGCGGACTGTTCCGTCACGTTTCAGCACTGGCACCACCGGGGTTGCCCATTCTGAATAGGAAACTGGCGTAATAATGCCTTCGGCCACGAGTCGATCTAGCTCGGCGGACACTTTGTCTAGCAAAGAAAATGGAATTTTTCTTGCCTTACAGAACCTTGGGGTTGCTCCGTCCTTTATATGAAGCCGTGCTGGTGGTCCCTTGATGGCTCCCAGGCCCTCCGCAAAAAGGTCTGCGTACTGTTCCAGCACGGGTGCCGCTGTCCGACTCTCCAGCTTCCCGTCCGATGAGAGTGACGCGATGTGAAGAAGCGGTGCCCCTTGTGTCTCGAGCATCTGTAACAGGTCACGGCCGCAAAGGCTAGGACCTTCGCAGTCTAACACAACGAGATCGCAGTCAACTGTTGCAGACTTGTAGGAAGCTTGCATTTTGACAATGCCCCGCACTGGTATCTTCCCAAGATAGCATGACAGGGTTAATGCAGCTTTACAAAGCGGTGGCCACTTATGACGATAGGCTTCGTATATCGCTTTAGGCACTACGCAGACAGGTGAACCTGTGTCGATTATCATATTCAGTGGCACTCCGTTCCATGTAACCTGCTTGTGTAGGGGCGGAACCAGGCTTCCATTACCCTTCACTGACCATATTTGTAGTGCGTTACAATCGTTATCTTCACTTTCCGCTGAACACTCTGTTATCGCGAAGGTTCTGTTGGTGGTGGCTGTCCGGGAGCATACTCGCGCCAAGTGACCTTGTCGCCCACATTTGTAGCACCTGCGCCGTCGTAATGAGCATTCCCTGGCTTGATGTCCCTGTTTGCCACAGCAGCTGCAGTGCTGCGATAAGCTGCTCCGTTCGCTCCTGCTGATTTCGGGTTGCCTGCTACGCTGCACGTTGAACACCCCAACGGCGTCACCTTGCCCGGTCATCTGTTGCGACCCTAACTCCGCGCTTTCGGCTGCTAGAGCTAGTGCTTCCGCTTCTGCCAGCGTCAAGTCCTTTTTGGCTAATAGTTGTTTCTGCAGGTTTTTCGAGCGCACTCCACAAACGATGCGGTCCCTCAGCATTCGCTCCAACATTGAAGAGAAGTTGCAGTTATGCGCTAGCTTGCGAATCTCGACGATAAACGCCTGCACGGACTCCCCTTCTTGTTGGTTTCGGTGAAAGAACTTGAAGCTTTCTGATATCTCGTTAGGGGACGGATCATAGTGCTCGTTCAAGGTTGAAACAACTTCTTCGTAACTCAGCGAGCTTGGTTTTCGCGGTGCGATTCTGCCGCAAAGGATTTCAACGGTCCTCGATCCTAACGCAGCCACCAACAAGGCCCTTTTCTTCGCGTCGTCCGTAACTTCGTTCGCTTCGAAGTAGACGTCAATCTTAACGAGATACGCTTGCCACTTATCTGTCTCCTCTGCAAAATCCGGAAGCTTGAGGGCCATGGCTGCGGGCGGGCTGATGGGCGTCTTCGTCTTGGTCTCGCCGCTGGCGCCCGGCTTACACGTATCGGTGGGTATCCTCGTCGCCACTGTTAGTTGGGAGGCGGCCACGCCGCTCCAGCAGTAAACGTGACAGTCGGACCATGCCAACAGAAAAGAACAGCCAGTTTTATTCACACTCGTGAATATATATAGGAAAGTAAGGGGGAGAGGGAAGGGGGATAAGATTGTGCACATGCGCACTTGAGAGCTTGGGTCGCGTCGTTCAATGGGTTACAGCAGAGAGCATTTTTAAACTTGCAAAATTGCAGAGTCGAGCTAACTGGTAAATATTCATGTTAAAAAACTGTGCTTACAAACATGGATACAAAAGATGGCAAGACAATTTTTATTGCCTTTATTTTCCTTGTGTCTGTGTTTTCATTGTGGTACAAAAAGCAGGTTCTCATATTACAATGCGTGTGCAAAGTGTCTATTAGCTTGTCTTCATGAGGTTTTAGATGCGGAGCATCTTATACTCGCGCCTTGTAGTATAACCGCTTCTCGAACATTCGACAGCTGACGCGCGCGCATGCGCCGTCACGCCGTCGCCCACTCTTCCACCATCTGTGCATCCCTTCCTCCTCTACACACCGCGCGCGCTTCACTCCTCCACCATCTGTGCACCCTTCCTCCTCTACACACCGCGTTCGACATCTACAATTCTCCTGATTCTCCAGTGGACGCGCATGTGGCGTCGCGCTTCGAGAACATTCAACAGCTGACAGTGCATGCGCCGTCGTGCTGTATAAATACTCAAGGTCGGCGCTCGCTCGCTCAGTTGCCGCTCGTCGGTTGGTTTGTACGGCGCATCGACGTCCAAGGTCGCGGTGAAATGAATTCCAACGAATCCACAAACACAATGATCGACGTCCCTTCGACCAGCGCCGCCCTTTCGCATATGTGTGTACGTGTTCACTCATTTAACACCCCCTCCTACAACCACGTTAACCAATTTAGCCATCGACCCAAGTAAGTCGCAATTTAACACCCCATTTCACAACCACGTTAACCAATTTAGCCATCGACCCAAGTAAGTCGCACTTTAACACCCCGTTAACCAATTATATGGTCCGCATCCTCCTCAGTGTTCCCCCGAGGGAAGCTGCGGGCAATTTTTTTTGTCGTTCTTGCTGTACTGCTGGCAAAATTAATGCTGCTCTCACGTTCCCATCTTCGCTACAGTTCGTGCGGCAAGTGCGAGTGGAGTTTCTCAAGAGGCTGGCGGCAAACCTTCCCACGAGCGTCCTTGACAAGTCCTGGCCCAATGCACCGCTTGTGTGCAAAGAGGTTGGTGCGTCAATGTGAAGCAGGCATCGCTAAGCTCATTGAAATGGCTCATGACATGATAGTTTGAATCGGTGCCACTATGCTTTAAAATGATGTCGGGGTATTCTGCAGCGAGAATAGACACACATGAAAACAGGACAGGTTCTGATTTTTAACCAGAGTCTTATGTCTGCGCTTGTGTTCTTTTCATGTGCCGATTCCCGATTTTAAGATTCCAAGATTCTTATGTCCAGATGTTCTATGTCTTCTGGAAGTACTAAAAGCTGACTGCATGAAAAAAAATATGTAAATCATGGGGCTTTTATTTTAGTACAAATTGTAATGACCCCCTGAATGGGTTATAAAGTAGATGGATTTTCCAAGGAAGGAGAGATAAATAGCATAGCTTGCCTAAAAACAGCCCTGAAGATTGTTTCATTTAAATAATCTGAATGATAATCCTAGATTGCACTTCATCTATATTTTGGTACTTGTTTCAAGAGATGATAGTGTATGCTACAGCTAGGAAAAGCTGTTAAAAATGTTGTTAAACTGTCATTCCTGATTCATGTTACATTCAGTAGTGACAAATAGTATTTGAGTTATTCTCAATTTTAATGAGCTAACATGATTGATTGCATTAATCAATATCATCTGGTAAATAAATCAAAGGGAAGGGCTCACGAGTGCAATAATTCGTGTGAATTTGTAATTTTATGTGTTGCAACCACGCTAACAACAAGCCTGAAGGTCTGTAGCAAGGAAACGTAAAGTCTTGTAAGTAACATAGAGAATCCAACAATCCAAAACGAGCTTACAGTCTGCAGGAAAGGTGTAGCAGTTGCATCACTCAGCTTCTGACACAAAAGTCATGAGTTCTAGCCCGGTCGTTGCGGTTGCATTTTGGTGGAGGTGAAATGCCAGAGGCCAGTCTACAGTGCAATACTGGTGCACATTCGGACATTAAAATCAAACAAAATTCGAACATTATAAGCAGAAGTATAGTTGTTTTTACATGTGAATGTTACTACACTTCTAGAACTACTGCTGTTCATAGAAATGTTTCAATGGTTCTACTTACTGGGCTCAGTGTGTATGCTTTCAATTGGCAGGCCTCCGAGCTTCTGCACGGTCTTCACCGCAAGTGGTTGGTGCGGAAGTACTGCAAGTCCGTCACTCCGAAGAGGAAAGCACTGGTGAGTTTACTGCCTAGCATCCTTTGCGGGCTCGTCAGTGCAAGCCACCGACGAGCGATTTTGTTGACAATTCTTTCCTTGCGGATGCGAATCAACCCAGATGGAGTGGAAGGTTGAAGCTGAGGCTCTGTTCGACGGCAAGAAGCAGAGCTACAAAAAGTCCGTGCCCCGGGAGTTCCAGGAGAACAGACTGCGTAAGTCACCTAGCGATCATGGACTGTCTCATGCAAAGCATCTTTCATGCTTCAACTGTGCTGAACTGACTAAAATGAAGGCTATTGAAAGGCGCAAAAGAGAAAAATGATTGTTCACGTATCAGTGAATTACTATTTCACATTACAAAAACACCATTCTTATTGTGAGAAAACATTTAATGAGTGAGAAAACATGCAAAAAGAAAGTGAATTTCTGCCCCAAATGCAGTGTCATCATAGATTTTCATGGTGTCTACGAGGCTATACATATTTGCTAGCCTGTAAAAATGAAGTATGTTTTCCTTTTAGGGGACCTAATGTATCAAGTTTAGGAAAATTTTGATGAGCCAATGTTGCCAAAGAATGGAAAATATCCTTTGAAATTTACGACACGTGCAGTGCATAGTAAAAACGAACATTTGACATTGATTTTCTCCTGTAATAATAAACATATAGTATGATGGTGCACCTAATGAGATTAGAGATATCAGGGTACAATTTATCAATTGATTCATATTGTGTTTAGTGTCTATTTAAACTATTGCTTGTCTGCTGTTCACACACACTCACTGACTCTAATTGAAAATAACCCCCTTCACCCGTGTCACGGATTAAGATCAGTGTCACCAGAAAATCTATAAAGTTCTTTGGCAATCACGCAAGGTTACCTACCCCAACAGTCAGCTGAATCTCCAGAATGACATCTGCAGTTGAGTAAATGTTATATGAAACTGTCAGTATTATCAATGATAGCTGGAGAAATTGACATGAATGCATTTTTATTTATAAACTGTGGTATTTTACAAACTGAATGAGCACCGTTTGTGTAAGTGCTTGTGTGTTTTCAATAGACTCTTAACTTGATCTGCATTTGTCTGTCCCCCTTCTTTCTTCACATACTGTACTTTCATGTTGTTTCAAAAAAAAAAAAGAAAAGAAAAATGAATCTGCTATGTTTGCAAAAAATTTGCTCGCAGCAAAAGCTTTGCGTTCAAACGTTCACCCCTGGTGCAATAATATCATGGTAGAATTTCTTATCTTCAATGGAAGCGAGATATCGGCACAGGGTTCTCTTTTAGGGGAGGGGGACAAAGGTTCATTGCAGCCCCCCTCCCTATAATGTCAATGTATGGGGCTGGATTTGCAGCCCCCTTTTCGCCCCTCTTGCCCCCCCCCCCTTCTCGGTGCGCATGCCTATGGCCGGGCACATGAAGTGCACAACTGGACACTGCTGAAAAGGCAGGCTGAGCTTTCAAAAATTGTGACTCAGCATGTTTTTTTTTTCTTCCCATGTGTTTCAGCCCAGGAGCTGGAACTGAGGAGAGAGAACATGTTCGAGAAGTCTGTGAAGCACCAGGGCGAGGTGACCATGGTAAGCAGTGCCAACGCATCGCAAACGTGTATCAATAGCGTGTATGTGTAATCTGTGCACTATTTGACACGGCAGTGGCATCACAAACAGTGTATCGTTGGTAGCACACATTACAATTACTAAGCTAAGTGTTGCCTGTGCATATGCAAAGGGGACTATGTGTGATGAGTACAATGCAAAGCACTCAGCTGCGTTAATGTGGGAGTGCTTTGTGCAATGTCATTTAAATCGCGGGTACCGAGCTAGGATGATTTTTACTGTATTACTTCTTTGAGTGGGCAATGTCGCTACTTCCCAGACTTGCTCAAATATTCTAGAATTTCATTGCACTGTTAGCTGTAAAAGCACACAAAGATGTAGAGCACCGTTAACTATGCTACTAACTTGGGACGTTCTTGGCTGGAAGTAAGCATTGATTATAGCTCAAAGGAACTACTTTTGAAGCAGCCAGGATGCCCAATTCAGCAAGTGGTTTCCAGCTGCATGTATGCTGTGTGCAACTCTGGTTTAGGGTATATATGGCTGAGCAGTAGAGCACATGATTCCTGAATTCTTGTACAGCTGCAGAACACTGCTTTTTATGTTATGAATTTCGTTCATGTGCCCTGCAGTAGCATCATATGGATAAGTATTAAAAGCAGTGTGATCTTAGATTGCTTGTTTCTTCGTGCACTTGCAGTACTGTCTGGAGGTGACCAAGTACGACCGACACGGCTACAAGCCACGCGACCGAGTGCTCGTCCTGACTGACGCTGCCCTCTACTTGCTAGACCGAAAAGACTTCCGCTCCAAGCACCGCATTCCCCTCAAGTCACTCGAGGGTAGGTACCATTAAAACTTGCACAGCATTCAGAAATGCTCGTATGTGTGTTCCGTTTATGCTAAGATTGCCATGAATTGTGCATAGATGAGGTGCGCTGCTTTGTGTGCTGCCTCTTGACAAATTGTGAACTGAACTAGTTTCACAGTTTATTAAAAAATGATACAAATATTGAGATCATAGCTTATTTGCTTTGATAGTGGACTACTTGCATTTGTATTCATTCTGTGCTACATAAACATAAGGCACTTAGAGCATTATTTCTAAGCCTTTCTAACTAAATTAAATAATTTGAAGTTCTTTGCAAGTGTGCAAGCTAACCAGTTTAAATTTGTTTCAAAAACAAAGCTAGTCCCTTTCATTAGTGCTGCATGGCCAGAACTGTTACATATAATCTGTCACTTTCTTCAGGTGAAATGCTGATGGTTTAGGTCTGTATGGGAACATAATGTTCAAGCACCATAGAGGTGGGGAACATGCCTCAACATTACTCTTCATTGGCCGAGTTCGTGTTTGCTAATGACGTGCTGTTGCCAATTAAGATAAACAGGAAAGGAAGACGCACAGATGACAGCATCTATGGCATCTATGCTTCTTTCCTTAGTGTGCATGCCTTAATCCAAGGAAAGATATGTCCTTCAGCAAAATGATTGAACTTGGTGCCAGATAGCTTGAACTGTTTTGGACAAAGCATTGTTAAAGTGTAGTTTAATAAGTATTGTGTACACATTTTGCCTCCCTGAAGGAATCACAGTGAGCAGTTTGACGGATGGCCTGGCATTGTTCAGGATACCACAAGAAATGAAGCAGGACAAGGTGACATTTATTTTTAGTACCATTTATGATAAGCAGTAATGTGGTTACGAAGAGAACAAAAAATTTCTAGTGAAGCGTGACAGTTGTAGTTTTAAAAGAACAGTTTCACAATTGGCAGTATGCTGGCTGGTGCTTCCAAAATAATAGTTTATTTAAATTGGCAAAAACACTTAGCCAGACAATATTTATCTACATTAATTAAAAAAATAGCAACTACTTTTGAAACATTACTGGACGGATGTATACTTATACCTAACACTGATGAATCCTGTGCATGGCGTACGTGGTGTTGTAGAATTGCAGCTAGCACTCCAAGCCAAATTCTATACCCTGTGTTCTAGATATTTGTGAAATTACATGCAGTGAACTAGAAATGAGAAAGACAAGAAAAATATGCTACATTGCTGCACTTTTTGCATGACTTCATGTACCTCGATTTCCCATATTTCACAACCCTTGCCCGCCCCGCCACGGTGGTCTAGTGGCTAAGGAAGTCGACTGCTGACCCGCAGGTCGCGGGATCAAATCTTGGCCGCGGCGGCTGCATTTTCGATCGAGGCAGAAATGATTTAGGCCCGTGTGCTCAGATTTGGGTGCACGTTGAAGAACTCCAGGAGGTCGAAATTTCTGAAGTCCTTCATTACGGCGTCTCTCATAATCATATGGTGGTTTTGGGACGTTAAACCTCACATATCAATCAATCACCACAAGGCTTGCCCATATATGTAAATCTGGCTCTGTTCATGTATTCAGACATTGACATGAAATATTTTTAATGCCCAATGCAATTGCTGCTTCTGTATTCCTACAAAATATGCTTTACTTGAGCAATGATCAGGTTAGTTGAGGTTAGTGGCATAGTAAAGAAGTATGATGAAGTAATACATTTGATATTGTTAGATACTGTGACACGCCGACTTTTGTAAAATGTTGCCAAACAACATTAGATGATGGCTGGTATATTACACTCGCTGAAAATATGGGCAAGCCATTCAGGAGAATGCCTCAAAGTGTACAGACTTCTGCGTAGTTGACATTTCGCCCTTTACGCACTTGATTTAGGAGTTCGACATCGATGTTGAACCTGTCTTGCAAATAATCTTTCATTTTCAGGGAGATCTCATACTTGACATGGGTTCCCACTTGGTAGAAGCGGTGTCCAAGATCGCCATGGCCTATGGCCACAGGAACATTGTCTCTGTCGACAAGAACAACTGGTGAGTTGCTTGGGCTTATTCATGCAGGGATTTATTAAAGAACAAAAGCTTAGCTTACCAAAGAAAGACAACCATCAAAAAGCAGTGCAATGTATTTGTAATTAACCATAATGCAAAAAATGTAATGGATTTACAGAAATTAGCGGAGCCCTCCACTACGGCATCTTTTATAACCATATGGTGGTTTTGGGACGTTAAACCCCACATATCGATTGATCGATTTACGGCAATTAGCCTTGAATTAACCTACAGTAGTGCTATAGTGAAGAGATGCATAATCCTGGCAATCTATGATTTTTAAATCTGTAACAAAATCTCACGACTATGTCTTTTTAATCAGCTCTGAATATGCCTAAATAGAGAAGATAAAGACGTTCCTGGCAAATTTTGATTGTGATTTCTGGGCCTTTCAGTGTGGACCACAGGCTCTGTGGCGGCAAGCAAGGAACGATAGACTTCAACATGGGAGTCAACCCAGAGATCATCAAGGGAAAGAACGGGCATCTTATAGTGGTAAGATTCTGGTTATTAACGTCTTATCTCATGAACTAATGCCAGAACAGAAACATGGCATGGGAAAAAGTGTTGTACAGAAAGCTAATGAAGGGAATCGACAATCTGAACACACACACTAAAATCGCAGACTAGTTAACAGCCTAATCTGCGATTTGGGTGTAGTATGAAATTGCCATTCATTGACCCTTCGCAAGTCATTATCGAAGTGTCTGCTACCCACATCTATTGTTGTACCAGCTATCCTGCTTTCGTTTAACCTCAATCCAATGATTGAATTGTCTACTGATTTTACAGCACATTTTATAGAAATGTAGGGGATGCTAATCACGTGTACCTGGAAATGGCTGACAGTGGATAGAGAAATGCCACGAGCTGTTCAAGTATAGTAGTCTACCCCAAGCACTATATGGCTACAACCGAAATCCTTGGTAAGAAACTGTCACAGTTCCGATAAGTGAAAGTTAGATGGAATGAAGAGAAAAATAGCGCTGTGCATAGGAAGTGCCGGTATGTGCCGGCAGTGGCCAAATTTGCACCATGAGCTTTTACAGAAAGGCGCAGTGTCATATTTAAAGGAGCCCTGCAGCACTATTTGAGCACGGTTAGAAAATGCTGCCAATTGGTAGTCGAGGCTCCTAATTACATGCGAGCAAAACATTTCAACAAAGCACGTCGTCTTTATTTTACGATCAAACTTCTAAGTCCGCTAGAGATCGCTCCCTTTTCTCTTGTCAAATGATGCTCTGATCGAATATGACTGCACAAAGTACAAACAATAAGACAACATAAAAACGAAGTACACGGCCAATGGCTGATTTGAAATTATGATCTGCATAGTTACAACAGCAGGGTGCACACGATCACCATGAAAGTATGTCATGTGCTTATCAAAGACGAAAGAAAAGGATGTGCTCAAGGTGACGACGTGCACTGCTGAATAGGCATAGCTTTGTCTCTCCCCTTGTCACCCCCCCCTCTCCCCTAAAGGAGAGAAAAACCACTTGAAACATGCAACATATCCCCGCTCCCCTAAATGAGAGAAAAACCACTTGAAACATGCAACTTGACAAATTGTAAAAATTTTTGCAGCAGTCGATTCACAAAGCAGCAAACTTATGGAAGGCATTCAATGATTACTTGGAAAAGTGTTGCAGGGCCCTTCCAAGAAATGTACATGCAAATATTAAAACACTGGTGTGACATTCAAAGATCATATGAGCTCGAGTGTTTAAGCATAGCACGATTTGCCTTATGTTAAAGTCATGTCAGACTCCTACGCACGAATGTGAGGTTTAATGCAAAGGCTGGTTGAGTAGCACAACTAAATCTGCTGCAAAGAGAAGTTTCTGTTATGCTTTTGATGTGCTGCTGTTATACTCTGGACTGTTATTAACATGAGCACTTGCCCAAAAATGGCCGCACGTGCATTTCATGCCATCGCACAATAGTTCAGAAAAAATGATGAAAAACAATTAAACAGGGATTGTTGTTAGAGCCAAAATTTTATCAAGGGGGCTTTTGTTTTTCACTGCAGCGGTTGCTTTGACAAGCACATGTTGAAACACTGGCAACCTGTAACATTCCCCGTTCAATCCTCCTCTGAACTTTCTGCCTAGTTTAGAGTTCAGATGAAATGAGCTTTCTGTACGAATTTAAATGTAAAATCAAAGAAATAATTAAAATTTATTCTCAAAGTGCTACTAATGGCATCATAGGAAACTTATCGTTACACACGCACAAGTTCAGTTTTTGCCAAATTTTCTGACGAGCATGCAAAACTTCTTGCAGGTTGCCATAGCTGCGCCTGAGCAATGCTGACCAACTGGGTGCACGCGGAATCGCCGAGTCATGGAGGAGTACCCACGCCTTCTGCACAAGGAGAGAGCCGTAGTGTCGGCATCTTCTTTTTGCAGCACAGTGTTGACTTTAGTGATGCACAGCAGCAGTGCACTGCCTTTCTGCTGAGGAACGCAAGTCATGTCGTCACCGCGTGCCTTGTTTTGTTAGAGTTGAGCACTTATTTTCGTTAGCATATAAAGTGTACAAAAGACATGCATATACACATCCCTACCACTCGTAACACACTTATACTTGTTTGTCAAGTGCCATGACTTCTTTTGCAATGCTGTTATGTATTAAACAATAAGAAAGAAATGAGAAAAACCAAATGCATACTTAAGCGAAACGATTTGCCACGTTTGTGAAGCCAACTAATCTTTCTTCTTCGGTGTTATCCCGTGTTGACAATCACTTTGTATACGTGCATTTGCGACAAGCCTTAATTGTTGATAAAGACGATGATGCTGTAGTAATATTTATGATGAATATTGGGGAAGATACTGTGATATAATCATGACATCGATTGTCAGCTGTTTCTTTTTTTTACAATAAAAACTTATCATGCACCATATCACAAGTGGAAGTCTCTGTGATAGGGATAAGTGTGCCTGTTGTGAGTTTTGAACTGTGCTGAGTTTTGAAAGAATGACGTTTGTGGCTTGCAGTAGGCAGTTTAAGCATGCACCAAACTAGTGGATTTATTAGATTTGATATATGAATGGCCTGGCTTTCTTTTTAGTCATGGTCGAGCACATAACACCTTTACGCTGGCACAGGGAATTAAATTCAGGCAAGGCATTGTATTTTTGACACAGTGAGGACCACATATGAAGCCATAATGCGGTAAGCAATGAAATTTCGTTCTACCTGCCCTAGTGTCTCAACAAATTGTGTTCATCAAACATGAACAGAAAGGCTTTTCAGCTTGCATGTCTAGACAGCAACTAATTTTTTTTTCTTGGCATCTGCAGTTCTCACAATTTTGCTTGCGACTAACATATACATAACAAGTCTCCATCCCGCACTAAGCAAGAACTCTCGTCTATTCACACTTATCACATGGGTTTTATTCTAATGTACAAAAGCTCTTCAAGAGTAAAGGCTCAGACGTACAACGACACAAAACTTTCTTGAAAGCACAGTTAGTAGTAATATCTTGGCTACCAAAAATAAATGCGAGCCAGACTGTGCATTGTGTGTTAAATCACGATATTTTTACTACAGTATGTACACATTAGCTTGACTAGGTGTCATCGGAGGTAGTAGTCAATAATTGTTGAAAACGCTGCAAATCCTGCGGCACCCAGGAGGCCCGGCTTTAGACCAGCTGGAAAGACAAGACAAGGTAAACCATTACGATCCAATTTTCCCTCCTGTGAGAATGTCTCAGAGTTATGCCTTTGATCATGTCAACACTCCTCACAGGGAACATCAAAAGATGTGTACAACTGGTCTAGGATTGCAATGAATTGTGCCTGTCGTTGATGGGGAGCATATTCTGCATTGACGTCTTAACTGTCCTACAGGAGGCCGAGAACAGTAGCAAGAAAAAGAAGTCATTGTCAGAGGTTCTACCTCGGCAGAACTGTTGGGATCCTGATGTCACTTCGCTCTCGCAATCAGATGTGTGCTGGCACATTAGACTGGCGTCTTGAGTCATTGCAGCAGAACCAATTGGTACTCTGTCAGCTAATACCGCTCGCTTTGTGGCTTCAGTTAGTGAATGGTTAAAAGTCTATACTAATCTCTTTCACACATAGTATAAAACATTACAAAGGCTATAAAGAATTCTCGATCAACATCTCTGGTGACATAATAGCAGAGCAAGTTGGTGCAACATACAACTTTCTTTTTTTACATTACACAGAAGGCTTAGCATATAATGTCTGCAATGCTACACCTGTGCTCATGACTAAATGTAATTGTTTCAAAAAGAAATGACGAAGGTGCGACTTAGGTTTACGTTCACAAGTTGTAATATTTAAACTAGTTATATTGCAGACGGTATCACAGATGAAGCAGATTTGCCGAGTGTGAGAATCATGATCACAGTGTTTGCAAAACTTCTGCTGGTTTCCCTACTAGATGTGGACTTAAAATGAAGTGCTACCAGTATAAATGCTATGGCATGAAAACATGACTGACATGAAATACGCAACAGTCCTCAAGCATTAAAATGCTCTAGGCTAATTGGGATTATACTCCAACGTGCATTGTACAAAACATTGCAACAGCTTAGTGTAGTCCGGAAAAAGACAGGTATTTATTGCATCCTTCTCCTACTAAAATTAGAGCATTGCGAACAGGAACCGAACTTCCAACCTCATTTTTTGTGGCTTTGCAACCGAGCCACAGCAGTAGGCAACTTGGATCTTTCCCGTTTCAATAAGTGGCCAGCGGTACAATACCTCATAACATGGGATACACCTAGCTGCTTTCTCTCAGAATCTGCACAACAATGCCACACATACCTCGAAATCCTATTAGTCCTCCAGTTAATGCCCCAGCCATGGTGCCGTTTTTCCAGTCTGTTTTGGCACGATGCTGGAGAAGAACAAAAGGAGAAGAGATGCATATCTTTTAGACATGTACGCAGTAAACAGCTTTCTGAAAAATATTGAAGCTTGGAGAATAGCACGAACCTCTCAATGTCTGCATTCTTTTGGTGACATACAGTCAAGCCATCGGGGCTAAAATGATCTTTCACTGTGGCGGCTGCCTACTGCGCCATCAACGGACAGGGAAAGAAAACACATTTGCTTTCGGTGTAGTCTATTGGCAAACAAAATAACCACTCATGGCTGGTAGACAGGCGCTGCTGGATTGTGCTCTCACTACGATAGCGCAACCGGCGATGCCTGCAGGGCGTCGCCTGCTGCGAACAAATCGACCCTGTTGTGTGGAAGACACCGGGCACAAATAACCAACCACGGCGGGTCATGCCCAGTCTGGTGGTGCACGCCTCGAGATCGGCCGCGACGGGTTATTTTGTTCGCCAATAGGTTACGCCGAAAGCGAACGTCTTTTCTATCGCTGTTGGTTGATGGTGCTGAAGGCGGCCGCCACTGGGCGCTGGCCACGCACTCCCGTGTTCCCTTTCATAAAGGACGACAGAGTGCACGATAACAAGAAGATAGATCGAGTTGGCATCAAAGGCATGCAGCATGTTTTCACTGTGGCAGTTGACAACTCGAACTCAATTTCAAAATCATTCTAAACGACAACAGAATATAGGTGGAAACTGAGCAGCTGCAATTATAGTACCAATGCAAAGGAGAGAAAATTCTAAACATCTTTGTCACGAAGATGATGAACTGACAAAGCAGCCTCTCTTACCTGCCAGCATATCTAAGACTTTTCACACTACCGTGTAGATTATGTGATACATAATCACACTACCGTGTGATTATGTGATATCGGTCTGTTCATTTTAATTTGATATTTAGGCTGCATCTTGCAAAGTGAAGATGATATATAGGTTCTCTAATGAATATGTCAATGATGATTCATGTGACGAACAGCTTGTTACCCCGAATGCAATCACACATAGCATGAATCTAGAAAGCTTGGTCGAAAAACGGCTGCGTGCCAGAGTCTGTGGCAATATCCATAGTTTATGTCGCTTTTGAATAAATTTAGTACACGGTTCATTATCGTTACTCATAGACCGCACGAAGGTTGTTTCTTTTGTGGAAAAAAATTGGGATGTAAGAACAGTAAAGTGTGTTTATCGGCAAACTCCCCAAAGTTATGGAAGACGCCGCACTATTCCACGCTTGTCTATGCTGACCAAGACGAACACACTTACCGACTCAATCGTGCATTCGATGGCAGCGAACATGGCACCGACAATGGCAAAGTTCTTGGCGTAAGACACGGATTTCGCTTTCATATCGGAAAACACCTGCCGCACTGTCATCTTCGCAGGGTCCACAGCACCGCCGGTGACATTTGGGTCCACGCTTGCAGAGAAAAGACCGAGCGCCGCTCCGAATGCGCCACCTGAACACAACAAGTCACAGAATGTGCTTATTACAGAGATATTGATGTCCATCAATCAACTCGACTATTTCGATTGCATCAAGCCTGAATCGGACCGAAATGCTAGAGATATTTATAACAGCTAGTGCGAATACACAGATGGGCCTGATCGGAACAGAACGATACAATGTGTGATGACGAGGGAGAAGCCACTCCCATTGTTCTTTTAAACATTTCGGCTTTCTACATAAAATGCCCTCCAAGTGAATTAGCAGCAGTGATCATTAAAGATTCACTATCAGTATGTACTGCACACTCTGTAGATTTGATGAATATGTTTTGTCATTTAATACCGAAAAAAAGTAGAAATACTGAATTTGCTGTTGGTACCAGGCCACCGTGGATTATATTTGAACAAAATGGCGGACTCTTTAGCAGCAGTATCCTTATATTTTAGAGACTTAGTATCCCTGGGTGGACCAATCGTCCCAGTCTTACCAGATACGGCCTACGTGACAGCGTTAAGGTTCATAAATGATTGTTTGAAATGAGAAATTGGAAAATTATCATTGCATAAATTTAAAGATTTTGATCATTTAAGGCATTGCTGGAATAAACGTTGGGGTGTATCTCACCAGTTAGAAGTTACTTATACCAGATTGCGCTGTGCAGTTCCGCAACTAAACTATTACTTGAAGCTGAACTCAAGCTGTCCCCATTGTGCATTTCTTGCAACGAAATTGAAACAATTGAACATTTCTTTTTATTCTGCCGTTGTTATTATTCTCAGAGAATAAGATTTTTAGAAGCCCCATTGCAGATGCTTGGAATAGCAGTAAACGTTAAAGCACTTTCATCACTTGGCGGCACTGCATCAGGATATTGCCATAGTAATGTAAGTTCTACTGTGTTTGACGTCATTAAAAGCAACAAATCACTTATTCAGATTCTTATTCAGTAATTCGTGGTTAATTCAATCAGGAAACAAAGATGGTTTGAGCACTTAATCTCAGTTTTATCTATTTGTGGGTGAGCGGTCATCATCATTACGGCCTTGGGTTTACGTAAGGCGATAATCAGAAGTATGATGTAAGCGTTTTCACGGAGAGTGTCATGCAGTTAAATACAGGCTTTCCACGCCCGAAAATTGAGTGAACCAAGGTGATTACATAACAATGAAGCCTCGCAAGAGAGAACAGGAGATCACATTCGGTTTAATTTAGAGCAGTTGAACTCTCGGAAAATTTACGAAATTGGCGGAACTTTGTCGGGTGTTTACGGGTCCGAAAACGCAGGCCTAAAAGAAAGCAAGCAGTGAGAAACACGCTAACCGAGAACACAGCTGATGCCGGTCTTGAAGGCGCAGCTTTCGAAGACAGCTTCCACCCGCAATTCATCCCTCGTTTTAATCTTGTGGGGAAACAGGCCGGGCGGAAATACGACGTTCTCTTTGACTCGCTTGTTCGGCCCTATAAGCAAGCCGGTCAACTCTGAGAAATTAATTTCTCGCACATTACTCGTTGTCTCTGTCGTGCTCGAACTGCTGGCAGCGTCCATTTTCAACTGACACACGCGTTGCCAGATTTTGTTTTGAAAGTGTTGCTCTTGACCACACGCTCTAAAAGTTTCATTAGCGTTCGTATGACCAATTTATACTAAAAGTAACGTAACAAATATACTAAATTTTTAATGCAACAAAAATTAAATTATTTTGTTACTACATTTCTGATGGTCTTGACTTAAAGTTTGACCAGCCGGTTTTTCTACTTCCGCTTCCGGCTTCGCGAAAAGTCGCGTTTGCGATGGCTTAACGGCGTGGTTGACTGTGGAGGTGAAACGGAGGAACGATTTTTTTCGTCTAAACGTTGCGTTCTGCTTCTACACTGAAGATTAATAGCGGCACCTCGGTGCTTCGACCATGGCGAGCACAATCCTTCATCGGTTTGTGGGCAGCAGCACCCACATCACGTTCAAGACCCTAGTGAGCAAGCAGTGTTCGGCACCGTGCGCCTCCCGGTTATGGATCGCACAGCGTTTCTTAGCCACACCGACGCCCGCAACGGCGAAAAAGGTTTACCAGAGAGAGAAGCCGCACTGTAATATCGGCACCATCGGTCACGTCGACCACGGTAAGACTACGCTCACGGCTGCCATAACGAAGGTGCTCGCCGAGGAGAAGCTGGCGGCCGCCAAGAAGTACGAGGAGATCGACAACGCGCCCGAAGAACAGGCGCGCGGTATCACCATCAACGTCGCTCACGTCGAGTACGCCACGAAGAACAGGCACTACAGCCACACCGACTGCCCCGGTCACGCCGACTACATCAAGAACATGATCACCGGCACCTCTCAGATGGACGGCGCCATTCTGGTAGTGGCCGCGACGGACGGTGCCATGCCCCAGACGAGGGAGCACTTGCTCCTCGCCAAGCAGATCGGCATCGAGCACATAGTGGTCTTTCTGAACAAGGCCGACGCGGCCGACAAGGAGATGCTGGAGTTGGTGGAGATGGAACTTCGCGAGCTCCTCACCGAGTTCGGCTTCAAGGGCGACGAGGTGCCCATCATCACCGGCTCTGCCCTGTACGCGCTCGAGGACAAGGAGCCCGAACTGGGCCGGCAAGCCGTGCTGAAGCTTCTCGAAACCGTGGACTCTCATATCCCGACGCCCGTGCGCGATCTGGACAAGCCTTTCCTGCTTCCCATCGAGTCCGTTCACTCCATCCCCGGCCGTGGCACGGTTGTGACGGGTAGACTCGACCGCGGCACCCTAAAGAAAGGCATGGAGTGCGAGATACTGGGCCACAACAAGTACTTCAAGTCGGCCGTTACGGGCATCGAGACGTACCACAAGATCTTGGAGGAGGCGCAAGCCGGTGACCAACTAGGAGCTCTGGTGAGGGGCGTCAAGCGAGACGAACTTAAGAGGGGCATGGTGCTGTGCAAGCCGGGCACCATTCAACAGCACGACCGCTTCGAGGCGCAGGTGTACGTCCTGAAGAAGGAGGAAGGTGGCAAGGAGAAGCCTATTCTCAAGTACTACCAGCCCACGATGTACTCTAGAACGTTCGACATCACCGCAAGGGTGTTTGTGGAAGGCCGCGACATGGTGATGCCTGGAGAAGACGCAAAGCTGGAAATTCGATTGTTCCAGCCCGTGGCATTGGAGCAAGGGCAGCGTTTTACACTCCGTGAGGGCAGAATTACGGCGGGAACCGGGGTTGTCACCAAGGTCTTGCCCAACTTGAACGAAGAGGAGAGGCTTGACCTCCGCAAGTCCCAGAAACAGAGAGAGAAAGATGCCCTGAAAAAGGCTGCGCAGAAGTCATCGTAGGACGCCTTGGTGCTGATTTTGCCTAGCAAGTTAGACTAAGGCCACTGTAGAGTTTCTATAACTTTCATTCGTTTCATTTGCTTGTATTGTATTAATAAAGAAAAGTCATTGTTATCGTACATATTGTTTGTCTATTTAAAAGGAATGCCCAGTTGACCCTGAGCCTACGGTGACAAGGTTTGAAAAGCATAGACTATTTATAGTTACTCCATGTTCAAAGTGGACCACATTCAAAATGATGTTAAAAAACGCTTGATAACTAAACTTGGAGTGGGATAAACATATGTTGACTAGAACGAAGAGAGTTGCTAATTTCCAATTGCAGGAACAAGAGTGCTGCTACCGTAGGTGAGTTCATTGACAGATTGACATGACATGTAAGATTGGATCATGCTTAATTTTGCAGATCGCTGCCGGTTCGTCGTTTTCTGCTTTTGCTCTAGCTAAGCTCGAGGTCGTCCTTGGGTCCGGTTCCAGAACCGCGGCTCCTACATTTCGGTGGGGGTGAAATACAAGAACTTCAGGTGGTCGACATGCATTACTACGGAGTCGACCACTACGGCGAAGCTGCAGAAAGCACCCAACAATTTCTTTCTCAGTCTAACCGAAACCGCGGCTGTATTGCAAACAGTATGCTTCAAGAAGCGAGTTTGTTGCTCGCGAATTCACGATGTGCAAAGCGTAGACGGAAGCTTTACGCGATTTGCACTGGCATTTACCGCTTTACACCAGCCTCACCACAGAACACCTATACTGGGCTTCACGCAACACCCGCTGCTGTTTTGGCCAAGGGGGCGCCACGGGTGCATTTAAAAGGTTAGAAATGGCGGAGAACGCGCAAGGCGACCAGAGTTGGCGTACCCACTCTTTTCGACAAAATGTCAGGGGCAAAATGTGAGTAAACACTTCCCAAACCATCGGCATCCCGCACTTTGTTCGCTAACTCGTATGGACGATCGCTTGCGTGCCGACAAGTCGTAAGTCCCCCATGTTTCGGCATTGCTCGGGGAAGCGGCACCCCGGCGGGCAATCGGTGCATTTTTTTTTTCATCTTGTAAACAAGGAAAACCGCCAGGTTATGCGCGCTTCTCGTCGGTGATATAACGTCCGCTGTGTCGCGAAGCGGTCAAGTCGCGACTCTCCGTCGTTATTTTATCCCAACGTTGAATATTTCTTATCGCGTTGTTTAACGCCCGAGCGTTTTGCTTTGCTAGGTGAATACCCCTGCCGATGTTATTCAAAAGCAAACGAACTTACACTGCCAGTCGAGTCTGAATTGGCTTCGTACTGTAACTGGTCGCTTTGGTTTTGAACGCGAGTCATCCAGATCAATGTTTTCAATGCGATTGTGCTTGGCTCTGATTTGTTGTGTTTGATTTTTTTTTCTCTCCCGTTCAGTGAAGAAGCCATTCGTCAAGCGGCGAACCCCCCCTTTCGGAGCGCGACGGAAATGGAGAACCACGTCTTTCAAAAGGCCAGATCCAAGGTGAGCCCTCATAAAAGGCACGATGTTGTGACGTAGGCATAGTTTCACGCCATGGTTTATAGCGTCGTGGACGGGCACTCATAGCCGGTAATTTGTGATTCTCAAAATCCCGCTTTCTAAAGCGCGAGATACACTACTACATGATTAAGATGTAACATGCGGGTGATATGTTATTGATGTTTATATTCTGACAGGCATTATCTTAGAACTGCAGCGCTGTGGAGAGTCATGAAAACAATGCTCAACTAGGGGGCATTAAGTTTATAAGCATACAACTGTGGCAATATGGGCATTATACCATTGACGTGTGGCCAAAAACAATGTCTACATAAATGCTGCGACGCTAACAGCCATTTTACATGAAGAATCGTCTCACTATCTCATTAGATCCCCTTATTAGCAGCCTGTTAGTAAACATAGAGGGTGCATATATATTGCCCCGGCAGGTTGGCCACATTCAAGCAGCTCGCCGTGACCGTCGTGGCACGAGCACCAGGCAAGACCAGGCTGGCATGCGTCACGTGCTCGTGCGTTCCACTACGAAGAAGGGGACGAAAGTTGGATCTGTAGAATTCGACTGCTCAGACTTCGACGACCATAGTCATTAGACTCGTGGGCACATGTTTGCCATAATAAATAAGCTTGTTTTATTAGCTTGTCTGCCTCAGCATCGCTAGAATATGGAGCACAAAAGCTGAGGCTTTTACCCGCTCAATTTCTTGTAAAACATCTAATGACAGGCACCGTAGATTTTTCACATAAGGTTGTACTCAAGCACTTGTCTAACAACATGTGCTGAGTACTTTTCGTTGAGACATATTTATGCATAATACGTCATTCTTTCTTGTACCGTAGGGTTGCAGTATTGCACTTAGATTTAGTTTTTTTATTCTTGGCAATCTTGGTAAAGATACTCCGTCAAATGGTGTGTCTTGATAGCACAGAAAAGTTTATTACTTTTGTTAATTACTTGCATGTTCTGCAAGCTCACCTAATCGTTGCTCACTTTATTACAAAGCAAAGTTATGGGAGGACGTGTGTGGAATAATACCTTTTGTGGCACCTTTCAATGAAATGCCTTTTTTTTCCTTCCCCCACTTCTTGGGAAAGGAAAACCACGCTTTCAGGGCCCCCACTCTCCGCTGTAAATATAGCATGGGCTCTGGGTTCTTGCCCACTGGATGTCACAAATATGCCATTTCATTCTCCATAACAGGTTGTGCCCATAGTTTGGCAGAAAAGTGCATTTCAAAACTAATACAGATGACATGCATTATAAGTGCAAGGGTGTATGACACAGTAAGCCCACATTGTTTACAATCTACGTTTGCCAGCATGTTGAAGTGTGTGAATGAATCATGGCATAACCTCTGCTGGGTTCATATGTGCGGAAGCTCATGTTTAAATGAGTCAAATTTTCGTTAAGGTTAAAGACCGCATGTGTTGGTAAAATATCAGCGTAGATTGTTAAGCGCAACAACTTGATAATACGTCAAGATACACGCATGACAGAGTGCTAAATTTTTCTGTTATATGAACAGCTCTCGTTCACTTATTAAATTTGTATGCTTCCCTGTAGTTAGGTTCAGCATTTAAAGAAAGCAGCTTTCACACCTCTAGGGCAGGTGCACACAAGCCTGCACCCAGTGAGTGTGTGCTCTAGTCTGGCAGGTCACTGACCCCACAGTCGGACAACATATTTGAGTACATGAGCGTAGGACATTCTATAGTCATGGAGGCTGTTGGCTGCTACACTTAGGTCATCTGGGCCTTCCTAACGCTCTGCAATACATATGCTTGACTGACCATATATATGTGAAATTTACACAATTTGATGCCAGTGTTCTGAAGACCAAATTAAAGGCAAGTGGAAGCTTTAGGATTAGTTATAGTGTATATTATGACAAGTTATAGTTATAATGTAAATATTCATTCATTGTACAGGCAGTCGTACCACATCTCTTAGGAAACTGAATTCAACAACCCACTCAAATTACATGTCTTAGTTACGTGCTGGCAAGGAGCATTCCTAAAAAAGTTAAAAAAAAGAAAAAAGGAAGTTTCTGTTCAAACACTCCATGTTTGATGTTTCGTTGCACACATGTAACGTAGCCAAACATTTTTTTTTTGTACCGGGCGGGGTCAGGCATGCTTTGTGTGTTTGTGTCTACAATGCAAATGTAAAATCGGAAAATTTCAGGTAGGAGGGGGGATTTGAACTCCCTACTTTGGAAATCCCCTCTGGCTATGATAGAAGTAAGGATGGTAATGGCTTCACTAAAACAATAGTTTCTAGTAAAATATTTTCAGTAGGAGGGATATAAAGCAACAAGAATGATTAACTTAACCACTAGCTCAGTGTTGGTGCTCCTCGCCAATGGTGCATAGAATTGGCAAAAATATATGTTTGCTTCAAATTAGGATGCTTTGTTGCAAAGGGTAGCGTTTCTGCCTTCCTAAGTTCTATCTGACCATGGTTGCCTTTGCGCTTCATGAATACTACCCAAAACGTAAACTAAAATCAGAGTATTGTATTACGTGAACTAAGAAAAATGTAAATAAGCTTCAGCGCCTGGCCTTTGCTTCACTGCTAACATAAGCTAACTGGCCTCGAGTGCAAGGCTCGCTCATTCACATCATGCTTAGTGTTGGTACTGGCTTGGGAAGCTTTCACAGAGGCACCGTTTTTGAGCTGTGTCTTAGATGGGGAGTGTTATTTGATACCGTGCTGTGAGTTTGAATATTGGACTTAATGATGTTTTTTTTTCAGGACGAGTACCTCTCATATGTCGCAAGACTCATCATCCATGTCCGGGAAATGAGTAAGTGTTCAAGTAGCATGCCTCTTTAAATTGTGTCTAGTTACAGCGAGTGGAATACTGTGCATCTAAGCACACTGCAACGTGTCGGATTTTGTCAGAAGCCTGACATCATCCAGCTTGTGTCAGGTGCACAAGTAGTGTTTCTATCAGGAGCTAGAAAGCATTTTCTCCTAAACACAATCAGTGTTTGTGAGAAGAAAGAATAGTGAGAATAAATAGCTGCGTGCTTCTTAAAACAATTAAATAAGTGCGCTAACGCATGGCCGTGAGAGTACCGAAGAAGCTGCCAAGCTTAAAATTTTGTACGCATCGTCTAGCCATGCTGCCTGTTCCTCTTGTTTGCTATCATTTTATGGTTGCTATAGCAACCAGCGTCTGGCTGATGTGCACCCGCTTCTTGAACTGCCGGTTTTTGTACCAACTGCCGGATGTGCGGTAATTTAAAGTATCCGAGAACTGTATGTGCAGCTGTGTGCACATGTCCTTCTCCCTTCACTTTGCTATAGAGCGTGCAGGTATTTCTTTTAGGTTTGAAGCACCTTAGGGGCTAGTCTTCGTGGCCTCTTCTGTTGTTGTGGTGTGTCATCTGGTCACGGTCCGTCATAAAATGGGGATTTGCCATAATGGGTAAATTCCCTCAGTCACGACCGGTCCCCCCAAAATGAACAAGGGAACGGCTAGCCCAACAAATGGCCATCGATGTTGGTGGAGCAGAAAAACCTTTGCTTACATGCTATGCCGCTCTCTTGCCACTTACTGCCGCTACGCCACAAAACCGGGGTAATAATCGCCTTCCTTCCATGCTGTAGGAA